TCTCCGTACATGTATTATTAATAGATTGGTGGTAAAATGGCTGCATTAAAAGAGTCAAAATGCCCCAAGTTTAATACCTTAGGTTTTCTTCTTTTAAAAAATATATACATGTGAAGGGTTATTCAGGGATTCCTGACATATATTCGTGTTAAAGTTTGCGTTAGAAAAAAAATGGTTTGGAAATAGCAAAGTGCTACTTGTACTTATTGCCCTATAACTTTCCCAAAAAAGCTAAGAACATGTTAACATTGGGTATTTCTAAACTCAGGACAAAATCTTTAAACGATTTAGCATGTGTGTTTTTTGGAGGTTGTAGATGCGTAACAGATTTTTGTGGTCAAATTTTGGAAAAAGTGTGGTTTTTTTATTTTTTTTTATTCTTTTCATATTTTATAATTTCTTTTATAGTAAATTATATGATATAATGAACATAATGGTATCTTTAGAAAGACCATTTAATGGCGAGAAACACGGTATATAATATGTGTGGGTACAGTAAATGAGTAAGAGGAAAATTACAGCTAAACACAAACACCGAAGAAATTTCAAAACTGCCCTGGATGACTGGATTCATGCGCACATAGAAATGTTTATGATGGTATTTACCGTCCTGACAGGAATAGTTGTGCCCATCTGCAACCATGCGCCCGGATACCTGATAAACCCAGAATGTCTAGGGACACCGGCCGCCGAGGATCTATGTCACTTTATGGCCCCATGGCCGCCCACATTGATAATGATGTCGGCATGCGTGTGACGTCACGCGCATGCACGTTTTGGGGTCAAAGGTCGGTTACAACCAATCGGATAAACAGGAGGGTTATTTAAACTAATTTTTACATTCTCTCATTGCCCTGTCGTGGTTTCTGCCTGATGGTAATCAGAGAGTGTGTTCCTGATCTTGATATTTTGGTATTTGACTTTTTGCATTGTTCTGACTTCCTTGATTTTTGGTATCCTTGACTTTTGGTTTTCCCTCATTGTTGTGTCCCATTCTGTGTCCCTGACCTCGGCAAGTATCCTGACTATTCTTTGGTACGTTAAGTCCGGCCATTCTAAGTCCCGGTAACAGGTTACCTTTTAGTCCTAGGTGTGATACAATTCTGCGTGCTGGATCAAGGTCTGGTTACTAAATGGTTAAATTGCAGGGTTAAAATTACAGGTCCACTATACCCAAACCACTTTGTTGAAATGAAGTTGTCTGGGCTTCTTTAGTGTTCCTTTAAGTCACAATACGCATAAATTGTTCCTCTTGGCTTTTCTTAAAGAAATTCAATCAAGGTGAACAGAGCAGGGAATCCCTCTACTCTATGTTTGGGGAAATTTCAGTAAGTGAGGAGTTAAGGGATTCCCAGCTCTTGTGCGTTCGTCTATGTTCGGGGAAATGTCCCTGAACACAGACATGTGCACTAAAGCGGGGAATCCCTTAATCTATGTTCGGGGAAATTTCCCCAAACATAGATTAGACGGATTCCCTTCTCTGTTGTGTTTGTCTGTGTTCAGGGACATTTCCCCCGAAGATAGACGAACGCAGCAGAGGAGGGAATCCCTTAATTCCTCACTTACCGACCAATTTGTTCTACGACCGGGTCGTGGAAACGGAACCCAGACAGTAAGTGAGGAGTGTTTGGATCTTACCGTGTTTAAGTAAGTGTTTTAAAGCATACAAAAACCATAGTTTGAAAATAAACTCAGACTACAGTATGAACTGAATGTCAGAAAACATTTAATGTTTTAAGCTTTCTTTTAATATAGATCAGTAATGTGATATAGTTTTAGTAATGTCTCACGTGTAATTAATAGTATTTCGTTTTAGTATTCATCTTTATTAAATCTTTGCACTTTACAGTATATTGAAATATATTGAGAAACGTAGCAAAATGATTATAAATAATATAATAGCATGTAAAATTGGAGAGAGAATGCAGAGTCGTAAAGTGAATTCTTGTCTTGTTACTGTGGGAAATTTGCACTATAGAGAATATCTTATTACTCTAGCTGCTTTTCTATCAAGGTTAATGGGTTATGCAATGTATTCATGTGAATTTGAATTACAGAATGTACCTTTTAATGCAAATTTTCACACATATCAAGTTGTGTTTTTTTTTTCTTTCTAAAATTGAAGGGTCCAGTTTCCCTTTCTTTTTTCCTGCTGAACATTTTCAGTAACTAGTGATTTGTTATGCCTTAAAAACATAGCTACAAAGTATTGGCCAATATAACAGAGTTGTAAAAAGCTCTAACTTGTCAATTTTGGCCTGTGTGTGTGTTATTTTATTTTCTTGTTTTTTTTTTTTTTAAACTCCCCTTTCACTCAACATGACTCTGTTTAGTAAAAATCCAAAATCCCACTCTTGGGATACAGCAAAAGATGCAGTCTATAGTAGATTGGGCGTAATGCTTGTGATTTACGCCCTTTCCAAGGTATATAAGTCACTGGAGAACCCACCAGGCTGGCCTATCGTGGCAGTTATTAACTGTGTTTGGTGTTGATCTCATTTTACTGTTGCATCTGGGATGCAAACAGGCATGTTAATTTGTAACAAAACCTTGCCTTGTAAGAGTGATGTGAACGCAAGAAAATATTATATCCTTGCTTTTGTCAGTCTTTGTCCAAGATACTAACTTTCACTGACCCAGCTGAAAATACTAATGGCCGAATTGTGGCTTCATATGCAGTCTAATGGCAGTGGTGTCAGACGTTTGATGGGTGTCTTAAAATAATCATACCATACTATAGAACAAGAAACGGTGTAGTTTTTAGCTAGCTTCCTCCAAATACGTCCTGACCTCAAAATACTATTCTATTTATGTCAGATGTTCCGTTAAATGATGTACTGAAAAACAAGTTTATTGATGGTGTATACTGTAACTATTTGATTTTCTTAACAGAATGAATTTTCAAATGGAGATTTATTATTGGTCCGTATTACACCAGATGAAGAAGGAAAATTTGGATTCAACCTGAAGGTAAGGTGCAATTTACTGTTGCTTTTTGTTGTAACTGTGCATAAATAATTTCCTGATAGTTTTCTGTTGGTATTCACAATGTATTTGTATATTATTGGTATTTAACTTGTATAATAATTACAAATTAAATGTTCCACACTGCAGACATCATGGGGAATTTTAGGAAGTTAAGTACATTTTGTTTACATATAGATACAATAGTAAAAACTAAAAGTAAAAAGTAAAATAAAAAAACAAACTCTGTAAAATATTTATCGCTTTCAATTACTTTGCAGGGAGGTGTTGATCAGAAAATGCAGTTAGTGGTATCCAGGATAACTCCAGGTTCCCCGGTAAGTCTTACTTTGCCCTTGTGTTCTCTATAAACCTACAGTATACAGCATACATACGTCTTGTATAGAGTGAGTCAAAGGCTATAAACCACCCAAAATCATGTATGACCATTAATTTTAGATTAATTTCATCATTCCCATTATGTAATAGACCAATGGGTGTACTTCTGATGAATGTTATCTTAGTGGTCATCTTGAATACATTGTCTTACAGATAACTGGATGGGTCCTGATCTTCGACTCATCTTCTATGGTTAGAATTGCTATGTTTCTACTAACTACAGTATTGAATTGTGTAACTCCATCTCATTCCCTTTGATAAGTATCCATATAACTTCTTACTTTACAATGAAGAGAGATCACTGGACATTACATTCCTGTGGTTTCTTACATGATACTCCCACACTGCAAACTCTTTGCCCCATGCTGACAGAATACACAATTTTAGAATAAAACAAGTTTAAATTGTCTCAAACATTCTAGCACACAAGTAACAGGGTTTACATTTTTATATCTGCAATGCATGGCATATTATTATTATTTATTTATTTTTTGTGTGTGTTTGTACCAATAATACCCCTCTGGAAAAACAATGAATCATCTACAAGTAAAGTTAACAATGGTACCTCTTTTTTTAATAAGTTCATACAAAGACCTACCCCCATTAACAAAAAAATCCCTGAAAGTCAAATATTTACATACAATTTCCAAGACTTAATAGTACATAACTGTTTAAAAATCAGAATGAATCAGAAACAATGGACTTAAATTAGATTTAATATATCTTGTACAGTGAGGGGGAAAAAAGTATTTCATCCCCTGCTGATTTTGAATGTTTGTCCACTGACAAAGAAATGATTGGACTATAATTTTAATGGTAGGTGTATTTTAACAGTGAGAGACAGAATAACAAACAAAAAATCCAGACACATGCATGTCAGAAAAGTTATTCATTGATTTGCATGTCAATGAGTGAAATAAGTATTTGACCCCTTCGACTTAGTACCCCTTCGATATATGTTTCCTTTCTTCCCTTTTTTGTAATACATTGTAGAAATAAGGAAATTTGGCCATAAGAAGGCCTCTTAAGAGAGAAATGTGCTCTCTTCCTGCATTATAATGCCAATAATAGCTGTACCGTTTAGTTTCCTTCACTTATAAGACGTTTTTTTAGCTTTACAATATTACTTTGCCAGTTTGTTTACCCTTTAAGCACAGACTAGGGACATTTAGTGGCAATGAGATAGATACTATTTATTTAGTGGATAGGACCCTCGAAGACCCGATAGGGCATTGTTAGATAATGTTTACTTATTGATAATTAATTGGGGACTGAGTCTCTCTTTCTCTTTAGTAAATATCCACTATTTATCTCTATTATTACATTTATAAAGTGTTGCACTGTTTCCCTGATTTTTCCGGTGGTGTAAAGTTTGTCTCCTTGAAATTCTATAATTGAGATATTTTAAATACTCATAATAGTAGACTTTTAATAAACAGCAACAATTTAAATGACACTTTTTCTTGTAAACTTGTTGCACAAAATGATTTGGATAATTGCTTTGTTTTTATCTTGCATCTTGTCATTTTATCTTAACGTTGTTTCATTCTATACTTCTGACACACTTCTAATGGGAGACTATTAGTTTCACACTAGTCTGGAACTGGGTAAAGCCTAATACTAATATTTCTATTGCTATCGAAGTGCCGAATTTCATAATTTATTTAGTTGTTTAAATTAATTTTCAAAGACAGACTAATAAAAGCTAAATTTAAAATACACACACACGCCACACACCACTCACCACACAAACACACACACACACACACTCTCTCTCTCTCTCTATCTCTCTCTCTCTTCTAGGAAATAGCTTTGTTCTGTCGAATGTGGATAATCCATTAGAAATCCATATAAATAAAAAATAAAGAAAATAAACTGTTTTTAAAATACACTTTTAAATTGTAAATATTTATCAAAGATAAGAAAATAAAAAGGCAAAAAAATGAGGCAGAGATTTTTTTTTTTAAATTAATAGTAGCCATCCCATAAACCCCTCACAACAACACAAACCGCTTCTGCCAACTTTACCACCAACATATATTATAATAAAAATTTAAAAAGAAAGAGATCATTTTTTTTCAAGGAAATAGAAAGAAACCTCCTAAGCCAACTCGGTGCATTGCTTATACTGATCTAGTGTATACAAATGCCTCCATTAAATGTATCTCCTTATTATAGTTGAAACATTCCTCAATGTGGGTGTACTAGTTGTCTTTCAATTCAGAGATGTGTATACATTTTTCATTTTTTCTAGATAACAAATCTACATTATGATCTATAATATATATTTATAACTGTATGAGGATATAAGCATATACTCTCATCTTCTCTTACTGTCGTGTGTCTATTTGCATGATCACATTATTCTAGAAATAAATATATGTAATATTAATGGTATTATTGGTGAATAAACATTCTGGAGCCTGTTTGTTGATCATGAAAACTCACAGTATCTGTGGGAGTAGAAATGTGTTCAGAAAGAGGACTTGTGCTTAGAAGGAAGGATGTTCGAATACTATGAGCAATTTTAGTGAGCCAATCTTTTAAAAATGGTGACTTACAGGGTTATTTATTAAAGTGAGAATTTAAAGCAAATTTCACATTTAAGGCTAAGTTAACCAAACTGACAACATAGCTGACTTAGAATATTTTTCCAGTTGACCTTAAATTTGAAATTCATTTAGAATTCTCACTTTAGTGAATATTCGTGTTCTGTAGATACATTATACTAAACAAAGTTTTTTAGAAAAATATGGGCAAAAGGGTGGAGAGTTCTTCTAAATGTTGTACAGGCATGGGAGAATAGACGAGAGAATGAAGATAAAAATATCATAACATAATAACATGATTATTTTTTTGTGTTTAAATAGGCGGACAAATGCAACCCTAAACTTATTGAAGGCGATCAGATTGTGCTGATCAATGGTCGTGATATATCAGAGCACACGCATGACCAAGTTGTAATGTTCATAAAAGCCAGTCGAGAATCTCATACACGGGAACTTGCACTGCTGGTTAGGCGGAAAGGTAAGCATTGCAATTTTGGAGCTTTTGTAAAATGGGTTAAAGCAAAGCAAGACACACAATTTTGTAATTCTGGTATACACTGTGAGTATTATTTCCTTGAAACTGCTCAGCAGTTTGGCAGCTGAGTAAACACTATATGGTTAAAAGTATTGGGATACCTGATTATTATACCAACAGGGACTTTTTATCATTACATTCTTGCATTCATTGCATTAGTATGTAGTTGGTCTCATCTTTGCAGCTAACAGCTTCCACTCGAGATTTTTCTTTGGGAATCTTTGCCAATTCATACAGTAAAGCATGTATAAGGTCAGGCACTGATGTTGGATGAAAAGACCTGGCTTGCAATTTCTATTCAAGTTCATACCACAGTTGCTCGATGGGATTCAAGTTAGGGCTTTGTAAGGGCAAGTCAAGTTCTTCCACATCAAACTCCTCAAACCATGTCTTTATGGCTTTGTGCACTTGGGCTTTGTGCACTTCCCCAATCTATTCTCACAAAGTTGGAAGCATAACATTGTCCAAAATGTCTTGGTATGCTGAAGCAGAAACAGATATTAAGATATCCATTCATTGGAAGTAATGGTCCTAGACTAACCCCTGACAAACAGCCATATACCATTATCCTTCCCCTACCAAATTTTACAGTTGGCACAATGCAGTCAGGCAGTTAACATTCTCCTGGCATGCACCAAACCCAGACTCACCCATCAGACTGCCATACAGACAGGGGTGTATTTACTCAGAGGAAAACAAGGCATTTGCCTTGGGCTGCACTTTTTTTGGGGGGGGGGGCAAAAAAGCCACACCCCCAATCACCCTGGCAAATGCCTTGCCAGCCTCTTATCCTGGCGGTATACATACAAAAAGAAGTTAGGTGGTTAGGTGTGGCTGGTTTTTCAAGTATTTTGTCACTGTAGGAAACAAATAAACATGGCCGAAGCCTAGTGCAATACAGTATGGTCTAATACATAGACAAATATATGATTCTAGTGATGTAGTACTCACAAAGATGGAGCCAATATGAGAGGCTCACAACAAGTGCAGATAGGGATGTTGGAAGGGACCCCATTCCTTTTTGATGCTTTAGGAGTCTTCTTGTTCGCCCAATAACTTCACTGAATATAGGCTCCAATATCAGGAAATTCGTTATTGGCATGAAGCAAAAAAAAAGTATAAAACAAAAAATGAAAAGAAATAAATAATAAAGTAAGATAAAAATAGTAGAAATGGGTACAATGAATAAAGTCCAAATAGTATATAAAAACTTGCTAGACGCGTTTCGTCCAGGCCCGGACTGGCCATCGGGCACACCGGGCAAATGCCCGGTGGGCCGCGGTGGCCATGGGCCGAGGCCGGCAGGGGAGGTCCCAGGATCTCCCCTGCCGGTCTATGCAGGGCCGGCACTCTCCTAGCGCCGGCCCCGCTGTTTGTCACGACGGGCCGGTGGGGAGATCAAGGATCTCCCTGACCGGCCCACATGCGGCCGCCGGCGGGGAGGGAGCCAGCCAGCCAGCCAGGCTGGAGAGAGGACCCGGCGGAGCTCTAACTTGCAGCTCCGCCGGGTTCCTCTCGCGAGATCCGGCACGTTGCCATGGCAACAACCGGATCTCGCGAGAGTGAACTCTAGCCTCACAGGCTAGAGTTCACTCACCCACGAGGACCACCAGGGAACACCGCGTGCCGGACCCCCCCTCCCAGTCCCAGCGTGCCGGTCCCCCCCTCCCTTCCAGGCTAAAGGTAAGAAGGGGGGGGGGAATAATGCCTGTTTTTTTTATTTTTTTATTTTTTTATTTACCCCCCCCTACACACACACACACAATAACATTTATACAGCACTCTCACACCCATCACACACAGCACTCTCACACACATTACACACAGCACTCTCACACACAGCACTCTCACCCATCACACACAGCACTCTCACCCATCACACACAGCACTCTCACACACATTACACACAGCACTCTCTCACACAGCACTCTCACACCCATCACACACAGCACTCTCTCACACAGCACTCTCACACCCATCACACACAGCACTATCACACACAGCACTATCACACACAGCACTATCACACACAGCACTATCACACACAGCACTCACACCCAGCACTCTCTTACCCATCACACACAGCACTCTCACACCCAGCACTCTCACACCATCACACACAGCGCACTCTCACAGAGCACTCACACACACACAGCACTCTCACACCCATCACACACAGCACTTTCACACACACACAGCACTCTCTCACAGCACTCTCACAGAGCACTCTCTCACACCCATCTCACACAGCACTCACACACCCATCACTCACACACGGCACTCTCACACCCATCACTCACACACGGCACTCTCACACACATCACACACACACGGCACTCTCACACACATCACACACACACCGCACCCTCACACACACACATACACCGCACCCTCACACGCACACATACACCGCACCCTCACACACACACATACTGCACCCCTCACATACACACAGAACCCCCCCAACACACATACACAATACTTCCAAATATATATATATATATATATATATATATATATATATATATATATATATATATATATATATATATATATATACACATACATACATACACACACACACACTACACTCTTAAAGGACCACTCTAGCCACCCAGACCACTTCAGCTTAATGAAGTGGTCTTGGTGCCAGGTCCTTCTAGGGTTAACCCATTGTTTTATAAACATAGCAGTTTCAGAGAAACTGCTATGTTTATCAATGGGTTAAGCCTTCCCCCAAAACCTCTAGCAGCTGTCTCATTGACAGCCGCTAGAGGTGCTTGCGTGCTTTTCACTGTGAAAATCACAGTGAGAGCACGCAAGCGTCCATAGGAAAGCATTATAAATGCTTTCCTATGCGACTGGCTGAATGCGCGCGCAGCTCTTGCCGCGCGTGCGCATTCAGCCGACGGGGCGGATCGGAGGAGGAGAGCTCCCCGCCCGGCGCTGGAAAAAGGTAAGTTTTAACCCCTTTCCAGAGCCGTGCGGGAGGGGGTTCCTGAGCCACATATGCATCACATTACACCACAAACACGACACGACTAAAACCGACCTTATTACACAATACCACACCACGACCAGCTCACTCTACACACAAGCAATACCACAAGCAGGCTCCAAACACATGCACAATACTCTGTCCTGGCCTTTTGTCTCCTGGTATCCATTTATAGAGACACCAGAGACAAGTTGCAAGGAAACACAGTGCAAGCATGTTATTAAATTTACTTGCACTGTGCAGAACAAATACAGGACTTTTTTCTCATGCTAGAGCTCTTCAGCAGAGCTCTGCGCATGGTCTGCCCTGGAAGAGCATTGAACCAACATGCTCACTTTGAGAGGAGGCGTGTTTGTCATTGGTGACAAAACACACCTCCTCTGCCCCGCCCCCTTTTTAGTGGGCCGCTGTGTTAAAAAAATGCCCGGGCCGAATTTTTCTCCCAGTCCGGCCCTGGTTTCGTCTGTTAAAAAAGCTTTGTTGAGACCTGCAGTGGTTATGGTACTGCGGTCTTCTATTCCTTTCCCAATAGCTGAGCATAAGTGAATATAACTGCAGTTAGGAGGTAGAGGAATAGAGTAGATAAATGCAGCTTCCAAGATGATTCTCCCCAGCAAGTAAAATATTTCCCAAGCATGAGCCTAGACTTCATAAATGTGTAACAGGAATAACTTTTATTGATGCCACACTGGCTTTTATGAGAATCCTCCCTCAAGAGGACCTCCCACAGTAAACAAAGACAATAACCAATCAGCATACAGATTTACAGTAACAACCGCCCTCTCTCTGCCTGGGAGAGATTGAGATAAGTTAAGGAATAACCCAATTATCTCCAGGCAGAGGGCACACAATTTCCCCAAAAATTAGAACACCCCTTTACACACAAGGTATCCCCACAAATTACATATCCCCTGATAGCCCTGATCTGGGGGACCAACATATTCAAATTTCACCCAGATCGGTTCAGGGGTTCTCAAAAAGTATGGAAGTCATAAGTTACCGACCAGACATGAGGCTACTTCCCAAAACAGTTCTACGAATTCGGCGTGTGCGGTCGGTCAATTCAGTAAATGGCATAAAAACAAATAAAGTCCCGAATGGATCCTCCTGGCTCATAGCAGCGATTGCTCCCCTTGTTCGTATGAACCAAACTACCGAATGGCGCTCTCCTGGCTGTTTGGCAACTAAAGGAAGCGGTGGTTTGGGAGGTCGAGTGTCCGATTTTAGTTCCAGACACTCGACGACCAAGGCCACCGTTTTCTGTTCCACGTGGCATTTGGCTATACGAATGGCGGCCGCCCAGAGAGTGGTTCTTTTTGAAGTTAATGAGCCAGGAGGGTGGTCGGTGTTCGGTAGTTTTAAACTGCCAAACCAATAAATCCAAAATGAACGAAATGTTGCAGAAAAGCACGAACACAGAAGAAAATGCCGAAACTCAGTCTATTTTCTTCACAGGCGTCTTCAGTTGCTTGTAGATCTTTTCCAGCGTTTGGTTTTTTTTGTATGCCTCTCACTGATTGCTCATTGTGGTCACCTGATGTTGCCGACCGGTTCCGTCTCTTTTTGATGACGCAGATCTTCGCGTCTCTTCCTGATGACGTTGGTACATTCAGTCCGTATTTGGAACGCATTCTTGCGTTTCACAGTCCAAATAAACTTTATTGTTCTTAACAATATTGTATATTTCATATATGAATATCGGAGAAAGGAAAAAAAGGAGATCATTATATTGTTTTTTTTTTTTACTATTTATAATAGAAATCTCAAAACATGCAGAAAGCGTTAAGTATAAGAGTACATAAGACTTATACAAGTGTTTCAGTAATTGTACATATTTTTAATGCATAAAACCAATAGATCATTACATTATATATTAAAGGTACACAAAGTGTCATGCTCTATATTGCATAAAGTGCTTAATATATTTAAAAGCTGTAGTGAAAGTGTATAAGGTGTCAAACTCTATATTTAAAAGGTGCTTAATATATTGAAAAGCTGTAATAATGCTCCTAATGTTTAAGTCAGTTTAATAGATCATTAAAAATTACCATCTGAACTTTGTGGGTTACACAGCAGGACTTTGTATTTATTTTGAATCTTATCCTGGGGGGCCCAGGAGCTGGCCGGGTGGCCACCTCAGGGCCCCCCTGGCTGGCAGCGGTGGAACTTTCCGGGCAGGTGGCGAGGGAGCACTAATCCTCCTGTTCAGCTCCCTTGCGCCCACCGCAGTGATGCCGGAGTATGACATCATTCCAGCCCCAGCATCACTACACAGCGTGCGAGGGAGCTGAACAGGAGGATCACTGATCCCTCACCGCCTGAAGTCACCGGCCGGCCAGCAGCCCCACTGGACCTCAGGGACAGTGATAATACACCCCAGCATTCCCAAAGGTAGGGAGGCTGGGAGGATTGCATTTTTTTTTAAAAATGTGAGTGTGTTAGTGTGTGTGTGGGTCTGTAAGTGAGTGTGTGTGTGTGTTTGTCTGTTAGTGTGTGTGTTTGTCATCTGTTAGGGAGTGTGTTACTATGTGTGTGTCTGTTAGTGTGTGTGTCTGTCGTCTGTTAGGGAGTGTGTTACTATGTGTGTGTCTGTTAGTGTGTGTGTCTGTCATCTGTTAGGGAGTGTGTTACTATGTGTGTGTCTGTTAGTAAGTGTGTATGTTAGTGTGTTTGTATGCATGTCTGTTAGTGAGAGTGTATGCGTGTCTGTCTCTGTTAGTGAGTGTGTTAGTATGTGTGTCTGTTAGTGAGAGTGTATGCGTGTCTGTTAGTGAGTGTGTATGTCTGTTAGCTAGTGTATGTGTGTCTGTCTGTGAAAGTGTGTGTCTGACACTGAGTGTATATGTGTCTGTCAGTAAGTGTGTATGTGTATTTAGAAGAGCGGGAGGGGGAGGAGTGCATGCGTTTTGTCATGCCTAGGGCATACACCACTGCATACAGAGAAGTGTGATTAGTTGCTCCAGAGTTCAGTGGTGACATGCTTTACACCACTCAATCGATGCTTGGCATTGTACTTGGTGATGTGAGGCTTGCATGCAGCTACTTGGCCATGGAAACCCAAACTCTTCCAGTTTTCAATGATAACACTTACAGTTGACTGTGGAATATTAGGGATGCAGGGATGAAATTTCGCAAACTGACTCATTGCAAAAGGTGGCATCCTATCACAGTATCACGCTTAAAGTCACAGAGCTCTCCATTTTTCACAAATGTTTCTGAATGCAGACTGCATGGCTACGCACCTAATTTTATACACCTGTGGCAAAGGGTCTGATTAAAACACCTGTATTCAATAATTAAGAGGTGTATCTCAATAAGTTTGTCCATATAGTGTATGTTGCATGCTGGATAACGTAACCATCAGTTCAGTATCTTGCTTCATATCATAACTCTATAACTGGAATACTGTGTAGAGTAAACATAGAAGCATAGAATGTGACGGCAGATAAGAACTATTCGGCCCATCTAGTCTGCCCAATTTTCTAAATACTTTCATTAGTGTTGTGGTCGTGACCTAAATATGAATATTAATCTCTTAATACATAATAATTAAGCAATACGGAACAACATTAATATTTTTATAATTCATGGTATTATGGTCGAATATGTGGATAGAAAATACACAAAACGTTGTAATATTAAATGTATATTTAATATAACTATAACAAATAAACAGATGCTAGCAGAATGTCAATTTACTACAATAATGATTATATAACTATAATAAATAAACAGATGCTAGCAGAATGTCAATTTACTACAATAATGATAATACAAAACTACAACATATTACTTACAAAAGGTTGCTACATGTTACACAACATTTTACTTACAAGGCCCCAGCCCTTTGGCTGGGGTTAAGTCAGAGCTGGTACTACATCTTAGGTTCAGTCAGGTACAGGCAAAAGAGACAGAGTTTTCTCCTCCATCTGGTTTTATTCAGTGTAAGTAGGCTGGCCTGTGATGTCACTGCCAGAAGCACATGTCTTCCTACACACTCCCCCTAGTGGTGCCCCCAAAGCATTACACTAAATATGCTTTCTTTATGATGAAAAGTCATTAATTAATAAATACCATTACAAACCACCCTTTGACTTATGTCATAAAACAAGCATTTATAAAACCAGTACATTTTGAATCTTCCCCATTTTAACACTACCTGCCCTACAACAAAACCCACCTTTTGAAGAACGATACCCATTTACCCATTAATTATTACCCATTAACATTTTATTGCTTATATAAATGTTCACCATTGAGCACATGCATTACCAGTTGGGAAATAGGCACATACCCACCCTTATAATAATGAACAACTCAAACCATGTTTTATTAGATTAACCAATGATATTGTGTTCATGTGAGGATGTGTTTTGGAGCTTAATATAGTATTAGACACCACAAACTCATAACACCTATGAATCATTGCATAGACCGACTCGATTTCTGTAGCCTTTGGCTGGTCTGTGTGCCTGGAATTTTCACAAACATTAGTCCTGGAAACTGGATACTCTATTCTTCGACAGTCTCATAGAACATACGCATGGAGACAGGGATGAATGAAACAGTTCGTGTGATCGAGGACTTTTGTGTGTTTGTGGTCACATTGTTTTGTTTTTTTCTTTCTTTATTCCATTAACCACCTTGACGTAACAGTTTCCTGCTCCTGATGCATTTTGTTCCGACTCTCACCACTCTTAGCTGCAATATTTTTTCTCCTTACAGCAACAGTTGAGCATAGTGTCCAGTGCTGCTTCTTCTTCTGCTTAAAATATCCTTGCTTGAAAGTTCTTGAATGAAAACACAGGCAATGACGAACACAAACATAAATAATAACTGTGCCAATCATCACAAGTACCATTTGATTGTGGTGTCTTAACCATATTTTTTCCTATGGCGTTTGGATAAATACCTACACACCTCTCTTCACATCCAGCACACTCCTGATTCACAGATAAACACAATATCACTGCTGTATCTACCAATTTAACCCAAACACTCGTTATTACTGTTGCATTTACCAATTTAATCTAAACACTCGTTATCACTGCTGTATTTAACCAATTTAATCTAAACATTAACCAAAACAATTACATTCCTATTTACCACCCTTCTATTTAAACATGTATAGATAACCCAAAATGCCTACTTTCTCTTATCCCTCTTATCATTCTTCCGTTTTTGTTTTGTTTTGTTTTTAACTGCAACCACTCATGCACTTTACACAGACACAAATCAAGCACCTACTGGACAATGGGGTTCCCTCGTTAGAGCCCTCCCACCCCAGTTTGGTTTACACAAAAATACCCCCTGGTCCCTATTGGTCAATTCCCCCCTTTCCCAGGCAAGCATACATACAACAATAATACATAAGGGTTTCAATTGCAATACAATCACTAGAAATAAGAGAATAGTATGCACAAAATCATAGCATAGACATGTTAAATAGACAATAAAATAAAACATTCAATAGCTCATCAAAGGTCAACATTTAAACACTGGTCTCCATCTGATATTCTATCTGTGTTCCAATGTCCACCTCTGGTTTCTGCTACATCTGAAAAGGTTAGGAAACAGATCAGGATTACTTTCCTAATCACTTATAGCGTATACTGCAAATATTTTACTTAGAATATATATATATATATATATATATATATATATAAATATATATATATATATATATACATACATATACACACACAGACATGTAAACACATTCCTTCAGCTTTTAATTTTATAAACAATTTTTTTCAACAAGATAACTTTCTTAATTTTTTTATTTTTTTTATTTTTTTTTTACAAGGCTCTTAAAAAACAATAAGCTAATAGCTGCTTTCTGCATCTTCTCTGCAATTCAGGAAACACATTTCTAGCCAACCTAAACATGTTTAATAACTCTCCACCCTTTGGTTAAATTATAGAGGAGTGAACCACAACACCTCTTCCGCCTCGGAAAGGATATAAGTCAATATGTCTCAAAGTTCAACACTATGAGCTATGAGTGACTCCCTATTAATTTCTAGCCTTTCCACGGACATGCTTGCACCTCGCGGCTAAGGGCCTGCACAACTAACCACCCTGTGATGGCAGTGGCTTTCCGCATGGGGGTGACCGCCCCCGCAAAATTATAGAGGAGCAAACATACAGCAGCCTCTTTTCCGGCTCGATTAAAGGTTCTGGGACAATATGTCTGCAATTTAACCAGTACACTCACGTATCACTTATTGTATATTTCCTGGTCTCTCAGGAATTTCTATTAAATAGCGTATCCCCTTCCCAGGGCAATATACAACAAAAACTAGTCACCAAGGATCTCTATGGTCATGATAGGCCGCCCTACCACTAGTGTAATACGCCCTTTTTTTAAAATATATTTCCTGGTCTCTCAGAGATTTTGCCTATCCCTTTCCCAGAGCAATATATATAAACAATTACAAATAAGTTACAAAACGCTACTTATAAGTAATAAAGGGTTTCAAATAATAATACAGGATAGAACTGCACAACAACTATTGGGTATGCTCCCCCTTATCCGGACATGTTTAAATACCCCCTAGCTCAGGTTCCCCACTCGCTACTGTAACTAAAATCACAGCCCTTGTTATGGAGGTTCACCCGCTAGGCAGATACACCCTAAGTCAAAGCATGGAAATATTAAAATCAGTTATAGATGGCTTCTAAAATAATATAAATCTTAATCTGAGCCCCTACACTTACTTTGTTAAAAATGCTAACTTGTTAAAATATTCAGACTAAATAGGACAAAGGAATTATTTTACCATTTTTTCAGTTAATTTGTTACCAGTTCCTGCATATGTCCAGTAATTCCTTAGTCCTGGATAATAAAGCTGAAAAACACTGCACAAATTGATTAGTTTAGGCAATTACATTTACAAAACAATGCAGTTTATTTTTTCTCATACAGGCAAGACTACCCACCCCCAACAAGGACAAATTCTCCCCCAGCTGTAGCTGAAAAGCATGGTCACACAGCTGTTAAAAAGGTGGTCTCTCCTTCATGAGTCAAAATCATATATATATTTATACTAAAATTCTGTGTATACGCACACATAAATCTATTATTCACTGAATCTGCTTTACTAAACATATCTTTTTCTTAACTACTAATTTACTAGACAAATCCATGAATGCCAAACAAATGTAAATTAGTACACAAACAGGGTCAAATTTTGCAATAAAACCTGGTGAACTAGTTTAGTGAAAAGTCTTTTCCTATGCAAATGGTAGCAAACAATAAAACTAGGCCTCAACTCATTCACATCATGTGGTCAATGGTGGATTAAAATCCACATGGTCAGACAAAAGGTAAAGTATATATAAGTTTTCTCCTATATACAAATGACCAAAGATTGGTAACAAGCAACACAATAATTCATCACTATGTTCTACAACAAGATACCTTAAAAACAAATATCTAATCCCTATCTGCTATCTGCATTCATTCCATTAAAACCAAATCATCATTCATTTATTCATTTGTATACAGACAGACAATTTACTGTATTATTTAAGCAAAATGCATAACATTTATATTTTCCCCAATATTCAAGCATAATCCTGCCGACTACGCCAAATGTTGTGGTCGTGACCTAAATATGAATATTAATCTCTTAATACATAATAATTAAGCAATAAGGAACAACATTAATATTTTTATAATTCATGGTATTATGGTCGAATATGTGGATAGAAAATACACAAAACGTTGTAATATTAAATGTATATTTAATATAACTATAACAAATAAACAGATGTTAGCAGAATGTCAATTTACTACAATAATGATAATACGAAACTACAACATATTACTTACAAAAGGTTGCTACATGTTACACAACATTTTACTTACAAGGCCCCAGCCCTTTGGCTGGGGTTAAGTCAGAGCTGGTACTACATCTTAGGTTCAGTCAGGTACAGGCAAAAAGAGAGTTTTCTCCTCCATCTGGTTTTTATTCAGTGTAAGTAGGCTGGCCTGTGATGTCACTGCCAGAAGCATATGTCTTCCTACACACTCCCCCTAGTGGTGCCCCCAAAGCATTACACTAAATATGCTTTCTTTATGATGTAAAGTCATTAATTAATAAATACCATTACAATTAGTCCCTAGCCTCATCTTATAGTTAGGATAGCCTTATGCCTATACCACGCATGCTCAAACTCCTTTACTGTGTTAATCTCTACCACTTCAGCTGGAAGGCTATCCCATGCATCTACTATCCTCTCAATAAAGTAATACTTCCTGATATTATTTTTAGTTTGCCCCTCTAATTTAAGAGCATGTCCTCTTGTTGTGGTAACTTTTCTTCTTTTAAATATAGTCTCCTCCTTTACTGTCTTGATTCCCTTTATGTATTTAAATGTTTCTATCATATCACCCCTGTCTCGTCTTTCCTCCTGATGCAATCCATGAGCCAGTTTAGTAGCCCTTCTCTGAATTCTCTCTAAAGTATCAATATCCTTCTGGAGATACGGTCTCCAGTACTGCGTACAATACTACCAAGTGAGTTCTCACCAGTGTTCTGTACAATGGCATGAGCACTTCCCTCTTTCTACTGCGAATACCTCTCCCTATACAACCAAGCATTCTGCTAGCATTTCCTGCTGCCTACCTTTAAGCCACCAGAAATAATAACCCCTAAATCCTTTCCCTCAGATGCTGAGGTTAGGACTCTATCAAATATTCTGTACTCTTGCACTTATCCACATTAAATGTCAGTTGCCACAGCTCTGACCATTTTTATAGTTTAAATCATTTGCCATTTGGTGTATCCCTCCTGGAACATCAACCCTGTTACATATCTTAGTATCATCAGCAAAAAGACATACCTTACCATCAAGACTTTCTGCAATATCACTAAAAAAAATATTAAAGAGAATGGGTCCAAGTACAGATCCCTGAGGTACCCCACTGGTGACAAGCCCATGCTTCGATTATTCAACAATATTGGAATCCAAACCTAAAGATTGCAATTTATTGATCAGCCTTCTATATGCACCATTGTCAAAATCCTCACTGAAATCTATGTAAGCAATGTCTACTGCACCACCCTGATCTATTATTTTAGTTAACCAATCAAAAAAAGCAATATGATTAGTTTGGCATGATCTCCCTGAAGTAATAGAAGTCACAAGAAAAACATTTTGCCCTCTCTCCTGCTTACCAATTTCATACCTCTTTGGGTCAGACTATTGTAGGTAATCAGGTTAGGTACTTAACAATGTACCGCATGTGCAAGGTTCTCCCTGATTTGCACTCACCCCTTTATCCAAAATATGGATGCAATGAATAACCGTAGTTCAGTCATGTAAGCTATAGTGATTCTCTCTCTCTCTTTTTTTTTTTTCTTTTTTAAAGATTCTTTTTTGTTATAAAGGGTACAGAAAAAAAGAAAGAGGGGCATGTACAAACATAAAATACATGTATTTATATATGAATACATTATAATGTGAAATCTGTTCATCTAGACCTGATAGACGTATGGAATATTGTTACTGTGAAATACTAGAACAAAAATCCTTCATTTTTTAATTGAACATTGTTTTGAATTTTTTTTGAGAACTGTTCAATAAAAACTCTTAAAAATGTATCCTCTTACCTTGTAGGGGTTATTCATATATAAAGAAATTATTAATATATCAATGATTATTAATATGAAGAATAATATTTACTTCTGTGCTTGACCGAAATATATCACTCTGATTCATCCCATGGCCTATGTATATCGGCAAAAAATAAGTGAAGGGAAATCCCATCTGCCTTTTATCCCTTTAATCAATATTGTATCCAGGGGTCCCATATCTTCAAATATTGTTTTTTCTTACCCTGGGTCGACCAATGAAGTCCTCCATTTCCCTCATAACCTTGACTCTTTCCACCCATTGTTTGACTGATTCTGTTGCCAATAGGCAGAAATAAGTGCGTTGGCTTCGCCAAGGAGTAGCCCCAATAGTATTTATCTTTGTGCTGCTATGTATTGGGCCACCCCAACAAAATCTGAGGAAGGGTAAGTGTTAAGGGCAGTGGAATAATCTCATTAGTAGTGGAAATGACTCCTTTCCAGAACTCTGATATTCTGGCAGAACCACCAGACGTGCTCCAAGTCTCTCACACCCTCTCCACATCTCCAACACCTATCACTGATTTCAGGGTATATATAGTGTAATTGGACCGGGATTGTATACCACCTAGTAATGCATTTATAAAAAGATTCCCTTTTCATCGAACTCACCAAGACTGTCATCACCCTTTTAAAAATACATGTCCAGTCTTTATCCGTAAGATGTATATTATTATTATTATTATTATTATTGCCATTTATATAGCGCCAACGGATTCCGTAGCGCTTTACAATATTTTGAGAGGGGGGGTGTAACAATAAATAGGACAATTACAAGAAAACTTACAGGAACGATAGGTTGAAGAGGACCCTGCTCAAACGAGCTTACAGACTATTGGAGGTGGGGTGTTTGAAACATTAGGACAATAAATATCAAGTAGGAGTGAAGCAGAGCTGGAGGAGAGAGCAAAGCACTGTCCCATAGGAGAGAGCAGGAGGCAGGTATGTAAGGTAGAGATTACTCTGGGAGGCCATAAGCTTTCCTGAAGAGATGGGTTTTAAGGCCCTTCTTAAATGATTGAAGACTAGGGGAGAGTCTGATGGCAGTAGGCAAGCTATTCCATAGGAGAGGAGCCGCCCGCGAGAGGTCCTGCAAGCGCGAGTTGGCCGTACGGGTGCGAGCAGCGGTCAGGAGGTGGTCACGGGCAGAGCGGAGGGTACGTGGAGGGGCATATTTATGGATCAGTGAAGAGATATAAGCGGGGCTAGAACTGTTCAGTGCTTTAAATGTATGGGTTAGTACTTTGAATTGACTCCTATAGCATACAGGGAGCCAATGTAAGGACCGGCAGAGGGGTGAGGTGTGAGAGGACCGACTAGAGAGGAAAATCAGTCTAGCTGCAGCATTCATTACAGACTGTAGCGGGGCAATACGGCTTTTGGGGAGACCAATCAGGAGAGGGTTACAGTAATCCATGCGGAAATTACTAGAGCATGGACAAGCTCCTTGGTAGCATCTTGCGTAAGAAAGGGGCGAATGCGGGCTATGTTTTTGAGTTGGAACCTACAGGACTTGGCAACAAACTGGATGTGAGACTCAAAGGTGAGACCAGAGTCAAGTATGACGCCAAGACAGCGTGCTTGCAGGGATGGACTTATGTGGATATCACTGACTTGAAGGGAGAGCGAGAGAGGAGGATCAGTATTAGGAGGAGGAAAGACAAGGAGTTCAGTTTTAGAGAGGTTAAGTTTCAGAAAGCGTGAAGACATCCAGTCAGAGATGGAAGAAAGGCAAGCAGTGACACGTTGCAGGACAGCAGGGGAGAGGTCCGGGGAGGAGAGGTATATCTGAGTGTCATCAGCGTACAGGTGGTAGTGGAATCCAAAAGAGGCAATCAGTTTACCAAGAGAGGCGGTATAAAGAGAAAATAGAAGGGGACCAAGGACAGACCCTTGGGGAACTCCAACCGAGACAGGATGAGGGGTGGAGCTATTCTTGGAAAAGGAGACACTGAATGAGCGTTGGGAGAGATAGGAGGAAAACCAAGAGAGGACCGAGTCACAGAGACCGAGCGATTGAAGAGTTTGAAGGAGGAGAGCATGATCAACGGTGTCAAAGGCAGCAGAGAGGTCAAGGAGAATTAATATGGAGTAATGACCTTTGGATTTAGCGGAGATTAGGTCATTAGTCACTTTGATAAGAGCAGTCTCAGTAGAGTGGAGAGGGCGGAAGCCAGACTGAAGAGGGTCAAGGAGAGAGTTGGAATTAAGGAAGCGGGACACACGGGTAAAGACAAGCCTTTCCAAAAGCTTTGATGAGAAAGGGAGCAGGGATATGGGACGATAGTTAGAAGGGGAGGATGGGTCAAGAGATGGTTTTTTCAGGATAGGTATTACAGTGGCATGTTTAAGGTCAGCAGGAACAGTGCCAGAAGAGAGAGAGCAGTTAAAGATGTGTGTTAGGGTAGGCACAAGACAAGGGGAGAGAGATCTGATGAGGTGAGATGGGACAGGATCGAGCGGGCAAGTGGTGGGGCGAGAGGAATGGAGAAGCGCAGCCACCTCTTGTTCAGTAGCTGGGTAGAAAGTCTGGAGGGTAGGGAAAGCAAGATTTATATGTGGTTGAGAAAGAGAACGGCAAGGAGGGGAGAATTGTTTCCTTAGCTGTTCAATCTTGTCGGTAAAGTAGCATGCAAAGCTATCAGCTGTAAGGTTAGTTTGGGGGGTGGCCACAGCAGGGCGGAGAAGGGAATTAAAGGTGTCAAAGAGACGTCTGGGATTGCGGGAGCATGAACTAATGAGAGAGGAAAAGTATGACTGTTTGGCGAGGGCGAGGGCTGCGCTGTATGAAAGCAACATGAATCTATAATGGAGAAAGTCTGCCTGGGTGCGGGACTTCCTCCAGGAGCGTTCAGCACAACGGGAGCAACTCTGCAGATAGCGTGTTGATTTATTATGCCAAGGTTGGGGTCGTGTCCTCCTCGAGGTGCATGTTTTGAGCGGGGCTGCAGCGTTCAAGGCAGATGTGAGGGTAGTGTTATATGTGGAGATGGCCAGTGAGGGACAGGAGAGGGAAGGGATGGATAGCAGTTGTGAATCAATGTCAGCTGACAGCTGCTTGAGGTCAATAGAGTTAAGGTTCCTCCTGAGCTGAGGGGGGTTAGGCTGAGATTGTTGGGTGAGGGGGTAATTGAGAGCAAATGATAAGAGGTGGTGATCAGAGAGAGGAAATGGGGTGTTGCAGATATTAGATATTGTACATGAAGAAGAGAAAATAAGGTCGAGGGTATTGCCAGCTACATGAGTGGGAGAATTAGCCCACTGCAAAAGTCCAAGGGAGGAAGTGATTGAAAGTAGTTTAGAGGCTGCTGGGGTCAAAGGTGGGTTAATGGGAATATTGAAGTCTCCAAGAATTAGGGATGGGATGTTGGAAGAGAGGAAGTAGGGTAGCCAGGCAGCAAAGTGGTCAAGGAAGAGGAGAGGGGAACCAGGGGGACGATAGATTACGGCAATGTTAGCAGAGAAGGGTTTGAAAAGGCGAATTGAATGAATTTCAAATGATGGGAAAGAGAGGGAAGGGGGGGTAGACAGGGTTTTAAAGGAGCAGTGGGGTGAGAGAAGAAAACCTACACCGCCACCTTTAATCTCCGCTTGTCTTGGGTTGTGGGTAAAGTGAAGACCACCAAAAGACAGTGAGGCAGGTGTAGCAGTATCAGAGGGAGAGAGCCATGTTTCTGTTAGTGCAAGTATGTTTAGGGAGTGTGAGATAAATAGGTCATGGATGGAAGTAGATTTAAAGGTGCTGCACACAGAGCGTGCATTCCAGAGGGCAGCTTTAAAAGAGGAATTATAGTGAGAATTACATGGAATGGGTATTAGGTTGTTGTGGTTTCTGGTGTTTGTACCAGGTGGCTGAGAAGAGGAGGGACCAGGGTTTGGAGAGACATCACCTGCTGCTAGGAGTAGTAGGATGGAAAGGAAGAGAAGGTGGGAGTAAGATTTAAATGTTGGGGATGAGAGCTTGTATTTAGGGTATTTAGGAGGGGTTTGTGGAGAAAGGCTGGATAGATATGAATAAAGTGCGTGTGATGAATACTGAGATGAGGGGAGCAGAGAGGGAGCAATGAAGATGGTGTTAGCAGGAACAGGTAAGTAAAATGATAGAGAGATTTTAATGATGAGGGAAGTGAGAGAGAAAGTGAAAAATAGAAGTGAGAACATTAGTAGGAGAGTAGGTGCTGTATTTTTAAGAGCTGTGGTTAGGAGGGTTAAGGGTTAAAGAGGTATTGAGTGAGTATAGCTTTTTTTGGGTGTGGAGGGCTTGGTGGACAGAGGCTAACATAATTGGTTCAGAGGAATGGTAGGTAATTTGAACTATCTATAAATGTAGTGATAACCATGGGGAGGGTGGGGTGTGGGGTAGGGTGGGTGGGAAGCGATCATCCAGAAATGCTACCTCTGCTTATGGCAAGTCCTGCAGGGTTGTGTGCTGGGAGTCCTGGGTGTAGCTGATTCAATATTGTATGGGGCCCAGGCTATAAAGGAGAGAATCTGGGGTTAGATAAAGCAGATTGTGGGTGGAGAATCATTGGGGTGTTAAAAACAAAAATCAAGGAAAAAACAGATGAAAGGGAATTTAAATTTAAGGATATGAGGGAATGGCAGAGATAAGATAGGTAAAAGTCATAAATAGGGAACATCATAAATTAATGAGGCATAGAGTGCAACAACTAACACTAACAAAACAAACATGTAACTAAACAAGAGTTAAAGGATGGAGGGTGCAATAGTCATCAATTAAGCAGTAATACTGTGGGGGGTGGATAAAGAAAGAAATACAGTTTATAACAAAAGTAGGAGAAATAAGAAGTCCAGGTATTCAAGATGATCATCCAGAAATGCTACCTCTGCTTATGGCAAGTCCTGCAGGGTTGTATATGTAGTCCCTGCATCTATTTTCTCTCACTAACAGACATCCTATCCACCATCAGCTGCAGACAAAATTATATGGTAGATTTTAGATAATGTGCCCCTAGATATACTCCCCTGGCAAATGTGTCAATTACAAAGTATCACATCAAAAACACATTCTTTTATATATAACATTCTGACAAAATGTAGACAACATAAGAATCATTGGAGACTCTCACCAGGAATATCTCCTCTTTTTCCATTAGCAAACAACCCCGACTTTCAGGGAGGCAATGAAGCGATGACATTGGTACGATGGAGTAGTAAACCCCAATTTAAGAGTAGTACTGACAGAAGAAGTTATACCCAAAATGGTTAACTTTAAGAACTCAAATACATTATTAGATATAATGAGATATAAACTAAAAAGTTTCTTACAGAGGTCAGTTATTCCATATTGACGACTTTGGGAAAAGACTCCCTTTGACGTTTTATCTAGCCGCACAGGTGACAATTCACACTCATTATAGTGTTTATCTCATTCTCAGGAATAGTCTCTTGCATGGCATGTGGACATTCACACAATAAATCTGGAGTTTTCTCCAGAACAAAAACAGCCTTCTATTTGCACCATTGTAGTTGTGCCATATTCTTTTTATTTTTTAATAAGGGCTTTAGCAGTGTTAGATCTCAAAATATGTGGATTAGATATCCGTATTGAAAAGTTCATCAACTATGCCTCACATTCTGAACTAAAATTTAATGGGCTAAAAGTTACACATATTTTAAAATAAAACATAGAAATAGCATTCAACTCCACAATTAAGCAACAGCTCATCAAGTATATGCCTTGAGAATGGAGAACACCATCAGCTAAGCATTGACCGTGGTCTCAGGGAACCCTCTGATCCTCACATTGCAGGCTTTTGCCCTATCTTCCACATTGGGCAGAAGTGCAGTTAATTCTGTGTACTGTTTCTGTACGGAGAAAATGGTTGGATATCTTATAGTTTGTGCCACTGAAACGCTCCCCACATCCTTCTCCACAGCTACTATACAGCTAGTTAACATAGATACCTACTCCATGACCATCACTAGGTCCTCATAGAACATGGCTTTGATATCTTGCAACAGGGCCTTAATATCTGCTTTGGTTAAAGGAATGTTTTATTTTTAATTTTTTATTATAAGCGGTGTATATGCTTTTTGAAATCTCATTTTCATAACTTATTCAAGAGTAATAACTATTCAGATATTGACAAGATCAAAAATTATCATTGTGATATTAGTAGATTAAAAAAGACTGATCTTTGCCTCTTTGTTTTCAACTACAAAACAAAGACTTAAAACCGTTTTGTTTCCTGTTGCTATTATAAAATGTATATGTGCCCGGAGGCTGAGCCTGACCACTAAACTGATCGGACATGTATAGCTTAAGCTCCTGCATTTCTTGCTGAAAATAGACTTTATGAGCCTGAATATGGGTCTTATTTGCTCAGTCTTTGATATATCCACAAAAGGGGAGCCTGAGCTCATACTTTTCTTGCGGCATGCTGGGGCCTGGACTGAGGAGAGGTGGCCGATCTTCTTGTGCTAGAGCCCTACACTAATACTTAATATATTTTTATTACATTAAAGGACTAATAGGCCCATTGTGATCTTTTCCTCTGTTGCAGTTGTCAAGCCTCTTGGGGACATGAAGACTGAAGATGACATTGATTTTCAACTTTTTCCTCCCTCAATCCTTCCCACATGTTCAGAGTATGGTGACACATTACAGGGATCTATGGAACAACTTGCAAAAGGTCTGGAAACCGGAGTTGTACTCATTCAATTCGAGGTAATCCATAATATTGATTTAGTTTGTTTATACTCTGTTTTGGTATTGAAGTGGTTAATGTCAAGAGCGTTAACATCCAGACTCTTTTCAAAGAAATGAGACGTAACATGGATGATTCTAATAACGAAAGGACCAGGTTAACATCACAACTGTGGTGATATTAAGGTTGAGGTGGGTGTTTCATATGAATATCCCTCATTAGTTTACAATCAAGGGATGCTTCTCAATAGGCATATTATCAACAAATGAATGGTTAGCCGAAATACATGAGTTGTAGACTTCTGTAGTCTCTCCTTTGGTCATTACATAAAAATAGAAAATGTGTTAATTCTGGAATAGTGTTATGTTTGAGATCCAAATCCCTTTCCATGCATCAACCAGCTCATATTTTTTAAGCTGTTCAGTCATGTTTTTGCCAGTAGCAAATGGGGGAAAGGTGAAATTTCTTCATTTGGATCAGTCATGTAAGAATGTGTCTAAATCCAAATTTTTTGGATCGTCTCTAGCTGAAAAACTTTGGCAATTGGCAATTTAAACATGACATGAAGAGACCTATTTATAACTGTCCCCAAATCTGATTGATTTATTGGAATAATGGTTCATGAAGTTTCCAATCACTCCAGTTCCATTCTGCTATTGCATTACACAGACCTGTTAAATATTCTGCCTTTCAGGCTATGCCTCAGTCTATACAAAATTATCAAAAATCCTTGGGCAAATTTGCTAGGTCCTTGGATGTCATGCCCCATAGGTGATTTATGTATTGGACTGTTAAAATGTTGTCCATACATAGTAAAATGCAACAGTTGATTTTATTTTTCACCAGACTACTTAAAGCAAATGTTTCGGCTAATAATTCCAGACACTTGCATCAGATTCTATGGTGATGTCTGAGGTTGATCTGAATATGGCTTTCCCACTCCATGCATCCACATGATCCATCCACCCAAATAAATTTGTACTGAATACGAAAAGTCCTTGTTGGAGATATCTCACTGTCATCTGATGAGCTCCAATAGGGATCTCCATGGATGTCATGAAGGGGAAAATGTGATCTGTTTGGAATAATTGGGGTTGATTCTTCCTCTTGTTGATGAATAAAAACCTTTGTGTCCTTGTTTGGATTTATAAACATGGCCACAAAGGTGGACCCAACTGCTTCCGACCTTCCCAAAATTGCAATGTGAAAAACTTTTTTTTTTCTTTTAAAAGTGGAACTGTTGTACTTTATCTAATGAAGAAAATACTCTCATATAATTTCCAATATGTTTAATAAAGTCTTCACCAAACAACCTGCAGAGTTTCCTTGTTCTTCAGTGCATTAACTGCAGGGGATGTTTAACTAGAACTGCCCATCTCCTTTCAGAAGCAAGTGCAAGATTTTCACTGATAAATAAAGAAATGACTAGTTGGATCCATCCTCTCAGAATATGGGTGTCTACTTGTTATCCCAGTTTAATGGCATTTTCAGATAGATTAAAATTGGGGCCAGTCTGATCCATTAGTCTGTACTGTCAACTCTTCAAAGATCTAAAGACCTTTTTTGGGGGGCCCAGCTCCAGAGAGTCAAGCAAGCTTTATTTGGGAGGGATGGTTTAGAACCCTGTTTGTCCTTATTTTATTATGAGCAACCTTATCAAGGGGTTTTCACTGTTGCACGTGCATGCAATGGCTCGTGCACGCAAGTGCACGTCTGGAGCTGAGCAGTAGTCTGAGGTCTGCGAGAGAGGGGAAGGTTGGCATGCTGAAGTAGAGCGTGCCTGCCACTTCCGTTAGCTCTGGGGAGCTAACGGAAGTAGGAAGGAATCCTCCCTGTCTGTTTGACAACCAGGGGGGAGTTCCCTAGGTAATTTATAAAAGTGCTGTTTTCTCATAGAAATCATTTGAACTTGGGTACTCCTCACCCATAAAACATTTTAGTAAGCTGAAGTGCTTTTGGGGTGTGGAGTTGTCCTTTAACACCAATCTGCAACAAATGTTTATACCTCTGCACACCAGGGTGTGCTACCCATAGTGGCAAAGTGCTACCCATAGTGGCAAAAACAAAGAATAGGGTTATTAACACTGTTTTTTATGTGACTTCACGCCCTACTGAAGATATACTCATTTTCCTGTTCATCTCTATTATTTCATTTTAAGCAATCCCCACAGCCCCCCTCTGTTTATTTTTTTTACATGTTCCATCCCCCTTTAAATGAAGTCTGCGTGGACAGCAACAACAGCTGTTGCTAGTTTTTAATTTTAGAGAGCAGATGCTACTGCTGGCTTCCTACTGTTTAGAAAACATACATGTATTATACCTCCCTTATACTAATATGGGGGAATCATATTAACCCCCATAGGCTTATTTCAATTTATTTATTTTAAAAAAATACTAACACGGTAGGTAAATTGTTTGCGATGCACGTTTTATGGCGGTTTTATCTCGGTCTACTAACACTTTTATTGAGTGTGGCTGCTTTAATATTGTCTGGCATTAGATCTAGCTGAAGTTCCAAAATATTGGATTAAAACAGTCGACAATTATTTATTATTATCAGCCAATAGAGTTAAACTGAGGCCATTGTATCTAACAACTGCGTGCTGGAGTGTCAGTTTAAGCAAAACAAAAGCTAGAAATGTCTAGCCATTTTAAAACTTTGGTGTGTAAAAAACAAAACATTCATTTATTGTAAGCGGTGTATAATGTTAATGATCTTACAATGTTTTACTACTTATTATTATTATTATTATTATTGAATTTTGTGTATTCCAGCAATTATATCGAAAAAAGCCTGGGCTTGCTATTACCTGCGCTAGAACGGGTCAAAATATGGAGAAAAATAGATACAAAGATGTTTTACCTTGTGAGTATTTATTTAACTAAAAATGTGTGGCTTTCTATAGAATGTTGATAAATGTGTATTATATTTTCAAAAATAAACTTCTGTAGTTTGACATCATTGTCCTAAAGGGTCACAGCCAATGCAGCTCAATGTAATGGTTATGCTACCTAGAATGCTCTGGCACATCTCTTAATTTAATATCAAACACTTGAAAAAACTATTTTATATAAACCAGAGCTTTTACAGCTCCCAGGAACCCCCAGTCACACTGATAATGTAGAATTAACACTTCTGCATTATTGGTGTCCATTTTGTCAAACTTGAATGATAGTCATTGGCTGAGAGTGCCGGGTGTGGGTTGGCCTACAGAATAAAATCAATTACTCTAGTGGTTATGGTGCTTAGAGTGCCCCGTTAAAGTTGATAACAGAAAGTGTACATACTCACTATATCGGAAAGCAGCTGGCTGCTAGGGTTCTAATCCGTGAAAATAAAAACTGCCTTGCCATACCCTGATGGGCTTGGCTGAGAGAACAAGCATTTACCAACATTTGTAACAAATTGTTATTAAAATGTTTGGATAATGGCCATTTTTGTATATGACTGATTCAGGTCACTGTGAAATGTAGGCCGTCACATGAAACAGGAGTATTGTGTAAAGTACACTTACTATAGGGCAGAAATAGACAAACTCTTACATATCTCATCAGCTTGAGAAGGGAGATTAGTGTATGGTAGTTGTTTTTGTTTTTTTTTACGTTTGCATTGTAACTAAATTGTAAAATGTAGGCTAAAATAATAAACAAGTTGTGATTATAGCAAAGATGGAGAATTTTTCAAATCCTGTTTTTATTGCCTAATTTTTTACAGTAAATTATAATTTGATATTTAATGAATACACCCAATGGAACCTTTATGGAAGAGCTTGTTATGTAAGATAGAACTTTACTAGTTAATATCTAAGATATAAATCACAAACCAATTGGAATTAAAACCACACAAATTGCAAATAACTGTCCGATCACTCACTGAAAGCAATAAATGAATGTGAAGTTGTGCTAAGAGAAAACTAGTGACTCTGCATTAACTTTAAGCAGAATCGTTTTCTCCATATGAAAGTCTTATGTACTTTATTTTTTACCCAGTGATAAAAAAAAACAAAAAAACATTTGGACAGTATTTACCATTCACTTTTATTGGCTGCCGGGAATAATTACAGCTGTTTCAGTGCTGTAAAGTAAACCTTTCATTGTCCGTGTATGTCAGTGCAGATTTAATTGAAGGCTATTTATTGTTTCCTTCCTGCAGATGATGCCACCCGAGTGGTTTTGGATGGAAGTGATGACTACATAAATGCAAGCTATGTAAATGTAAGTAACACACAATCTTACAACTAAACTGCACTGTGCTGTGTCTTTTATTAGACACTCTGTTTAACATTCACTTACCCTGGAAGTTATCTAGTAGTATGTTATTTATTATTATTTAATGTGAAATTTAGTGGTTATAGAAGAAGGTAGTGATATAAACATGATTTAAAGGGTTACTCCAACCATTATAACCACTACAGCCTGCTCTGCTGGTCGTGATGATAGGAATACCCTTGCCCAGGTTTCTGGTAACGGGACAAGATGTTTTGTAACAGTTTCCCCTCCTACCTGGATACTGCAAGGTTTCTGGTTTTTTTTTGGTTTTTTTTATTGGAAGGCTTACGACATCCAGCTTCTGAAGAAGCCAGATGCTGATCCTGATGCTCATTGGTTGAAAGCATCAGAGTCTTTGCATTGAAGTATGAAAAGAATTGACTATAGCCAGCCCAGATCTTGTTCCAGGCTGGCTACTTATACCCTAATGATGCTGCCAGAAGTGGAGTTGGGCCCCAGCAGCCAAGGGGTTAAACTCTGTATAGGCATAGTTTTATATTAAAATGCTATATTTCTATACAGAATCCAGAAACCATGGCCACTTTAAATCACTGAAGTAGTCATGGTACTTGGAGTAACCATTTAAAAAAAATTCATAATCATATATTAATTTCTGTCTTAAAATTGGAATACACAAATTGCTTGTCAACTTATTTATAAGAATTTACCAAGCTTGTTCCCCTAATATCCTAAATTTGCATTGTTTCCTGACCCAATCTTTACCATTGGATTGCACCTTTTTGTAAGCAGAATTATACATATCATTAAAACTTAATAGCCAAAAGATGACTGATCTACATTTCACATGAAGCTAGATAATTCTAAGTGCAAACTGGTGATTGTACTCGAGCAGACTTTGTCTACCTTAAATCAGGGTTAAACTGAACACGTTTTGTGGCAGGTGTCATGACACAAATTCCAGCATACTGTGAACAGTTTGTATAGTTGAATCTATAAATACATTTTTTTAAAGTCTGTTATTACTTTTAATTCAGGTCCTGGCCGTCATCTGTTTCATTAATCATCAATGCCTGTGATTTGGCTGCAAATGTATATGGACATTATGCATGATATTTATTTTTTTGTAAGACAGTCATTCCACTCCTAAGTATTGCACTGTGGCTAATGGTGGAGTAACTGGGCCTTTGTTAAAGTGATTCCATGGACTATAACTCCATTTGTTATTTCAGAACTCTAGAACCAGTGCTTTAATAAAATTTGTCTAAAAACATCTTATAACCCAATGTACGTCTTAATTTAATACTGGATACATTTTCCAAATGATTTAATATTTTTGGAAATACTTTAAAATTATTTAATATTATACAAAAATATTCTGTCATATAAAAAGGTCATAAATATCAAAATCAATTTTATATATATATGTGTGTATATATATATATATATATATATATATATATTTTTAATATATATATTGAAAAAATATATATATTAAAAGTGAATCCAAAAATAAATCATTTGGAAAGCTTTTGGAAACAATATTAAATTCAGGATGTCATTTCTATAAAACCAGATTCTAAATGCTTGTCGAGTACATTAATAAATTGAAAAAAAAAAGTTAATCTATATCATTTTGCTTAAATTCGCCAACATGTGATTAAAAAAATATATATATATTTTTTGGGACAGTGTTAAAATAAAACCTTGCAATTTGTTAATTCAAATTTAAATTTATACAGCTACATAGTAATCTAGGTTGAAAAAATGACTCCATCAAGTTCAACCCGTTAAACCTTTAATTTCTCACAGATGGAAATTCCCTCATCTGATATTATTAACAAATATATTGCCACTCAAGGACCTCTTCCACATACCTGTTCACAATTCTGGCAGATGGTCTGGGACAATAGGTTAACAATGATCATCATGTTAACAACTTTAACGGAACGAGGAAAGGTAGGTAAACAAGAAAATACAATGACTTGTATGTATGTATGTGCGTATATAATGTGTCTGTGTGTGTGTGTGTGTGTGTATATATGTATTTTGGCATCTTGTCTACTGGACTAATACGGCTAATCCAATTTACACTATATACACCAAAAAGGTTATGGTGGGGAAAAATTGTGATTGAAAACCCCTTCCACCTGAAGTCTTTTTGTTTAACATTGTACTAACTATCCACAGACTTCAGGTGGAAGGGGTTTTCAATCACAGTTTTTCCCCACCATAACCTATTTGGATTTTGCTTCCCAAGCACTACCAAGCCTCAATAAGCAAACCAGTAACCAACCTCATGCTGATGAGTTCCATTAACAACGAAACAGCTGTCCATGAGTGGTTCACTGGTTTTGCATCTTTTCCTAAATTTGTGTTCTAAGCAGTTGTATACTGCAAACACAGATTAAAAGGAATCCATGTTTAAAATGGAATGACATTTGATTCTTTGTTAAACTAATTTGCATATGCCCACCCAGAATCCTTTGCGGTTGTAACATCACTGCAGATTTGGGATTTCTGTGGGAAAAGCAAGTCTTATGGCTTGACTTGTGTGCAGATTTTTGTTTAACATTGTATTAACTATATATATATATATATATATATATATATATATATATATATATACACACACACATACACACTTACATTGATTTGACTGCTTAATATTTACGTCTGTCATTATTTAATTTACAAATTTGCTAAATATCTTAATTGGATAAGTGTAAATTATAATACAGAATAGAAATTGCAATATACAAGTATCCTAACCATGTCCATCTCTTCCTATACATATGCTGTAGATAATTTATTAAATGTAAATGTGCAAAGTAAAACATAGTTGAGAGATAGAGAAGCTAAAAAAAAAAAAAACATACCATGGTGTAACTTTTTCTCTATAAGCATCCAGACCACTTCATCTCAATCACGGTGTTGGAGTGCCATGTCCATGTCATGGCTATCGTGTTCTGCAGTAAAGGCAATGCTTACATTGCAGGGTAGAAAAGTTTCTAGTGGATGACACACTGACAAAATAACTGGGTAATAGAGACCATTTAAATGGTGTACGGTGACATTTTGCTACTTTTTTTCTATGGAAAAAGATTGTATTGGCTGAGATCATCACGATTGATTGATCTCGGCCAAGGAAGCAGGCCAACCGCAGAGAGAGCAACACAGAATGAGAGAAAAGGTGGAAGAGGGGTGAAAGGGCATCACCTAAATGTTGTTCAGAATGTATATTTGTATTCCTAGTGCTCCTTTAAGAATTAAATGCTAGTGAGACACTTGCAAATGTTCCATAGGGAATAACCTAATAGGAGTTAGCCGAAAGATTAATATTCAATGTTCTCCTCCAGTTACAACCATCTTTCAGGTTGTAACCATGTTGTCATGGACTAGTCAACAGAGAGTTCTCTAACCTCTGTGTTTCTTGCACAATGCATTTCATCAAGAGTGTCAACTTCATTGAGGGGCCAAATATATATTCAAATCACCACAGCACAATCTAAAAAGTAAAAAGGAGAAATAGCTTTTTAATTGGTTTCTCCTGTTACTGACTAAGTAAGCTTTTCAGTGACTTGGTAGTTATAATATCAAAGTTTAATCTCACTGCTTTTGGATTGATGAACATCACTATCCTTGCTCCATTCTTGCACTAAAATAGCAATGAACAATTATGAACTATAAAATTATAATTAGTTAATATCGGTCTAATGACTACTTTTTTTTTTCCAATAGACGAAGTGTCAGCAGTACTGGCCTGATCCTCCAGAGGTTTCAGAGTATGGCAACTTTCAGATACAGTGTCACTCGGAAGACTGTACTATAGCTTGTGTTTTCAGAGAAATACTAATTACAAATATTGAGGTAAGTGCTTATGGTATTGCCCTTCTCATTTACATTTCAATATTTTTTTCTGTTTTTAGAAATATCATTTTAAAATATTTTTACTACAATATTTATTGCATATGTGAGTGTGCCTGTGTACAGTTTATATCATAGTATTCTTATAACCATTCTTCCAAAATACATCATATTGACATAATTCTTTGTTTGTAGCTTTTAAATCAAAGCTACGAAAAAGCCTTCCCATTATCAAATCCCATTAATTTCAACTAAATCTCTGAGTGAATTTGTACACCGTTTGTCACTGTTTCTGCTGACTAATAATTAAACAAATACCCAAAAGGTAATGGGAACACAAAGTTCCCACTTAGCCGAATTGAAGACATAGAAACTAAAAATCCAGTAATAAAACAAAAAATTGTTACAAAATGCCACTGAAAGTCCACAGGAGGTTTAATCGGCACAAAACAAAAAGTTACAAACAGGGGGAATGGTCACACCAAACACGTTTCGGGCCTACAGGTCCTTAGACATACAATTATTGTATCTAGCCAAACTGTTACTAGTCAGAAACCCTTAGTGGCAGATAATACTCTTTGAAATCAATTTCTCAGCGTATAAAAAGGTTAATATGGAGCAACATGACAATAAAACATTAAATCTTCTCCCTTGATATGTAGGAATTAATCCACTTACTCCCAAAGTTAAGTTATGTCATTTATATAGAAAGTCTTAAAATGAAATGTTCTCGGATGTTCACTGATCTTCATCTCCCATGACGACCTGTTCTCACCACTGTCAAACTCATTCGTAATATAATCTCCCTTTATTTATTTTCCATAATGGACATATTAGTTATGAAATATTTTGTTTTAATGCATGTGTTCATTCTGTAACTATGTAAACCAAATGTTACTGTAACTTATAAACAAAACAATTCCTTACTTTTTAAGGACTTAGTTATATTGAAGGATGGCAATAGTGCAGATAACAATGGCATGTCTATGCATTTAAAATAACAATAGTTCATAAATAGCACATGGTGGTATAGTGTTATAAAAAAATCTAAATGCTTCCTGTCTGTGGAATGCACCAGGAAAGTGGTCTGGGTGACTATAGTGTCCCTTTAAGTCTACTACAATTTGTAGACAAAACCTATAAGATAATGTTGCAGAACAAGAGATGTATTACTACTTTAATTGTATGTGTCACAGTATGCAATACAGTTTATTGGCTTAAAAATAGAGTACAAAGAGTTGTCATTAATGGTACATTTTCAAGCTGGACAAAGGTGGCAAGTGGTGTCTGTTCTGGGACCCCTTCTATTTAACATGTTTATAAATGATCTTGAAAAAAGCATTGAAAGTCATGTTTCAGTGTTTGTAGATGACACAAAACTGTAATGTAATACAATGTTAGCAAGATATTACTTTGCTGCAGAGGGATTTAGATAGACTGGGGGACTTGGCACTCAAATGGCAGATGAAATTTAATGTTGAAAAATGCAAAGTTATGCACTTAGGTGTGAAGAATGCACAAGCAATGTATACCCTTAATGGAAGCAAATTAGTGATAACAACACACGAAAATGACTTGGGAATTGTTATAGACAACAAACTATGCAACAATGTGCAATGTCAATCAGCAGTGGCTAAGGCCAGTAAGGTATTCTCATGTATAAAAAAGGGCATTCATTCTCGGGATGAGAATATCATTTTACCTCTTTATAAATCCCTGGTAAGACCACATATTGAATATGCTGTGCAATTTTGGGCACCTGTTCTAAAAAAGGATTTTATGGCACTAGAAAAAGTGCAGAGGCGGGCTACAGAATTAATAAAAGGAATGGAACATATCAGCTATGAAGAAAGGTTAACAAATTTAAACCTATTTAGTTTAGAAAAATGTCGCCTGAGAGGGGATATAATTACAAAATACAAATATATTCAGGGCCAATACAAACCATTGTGTGGAAATCTATTCACAAACCGGCCTTTACATAGGACACAAGGTCATGCGTTTAGACTGGAAGAAAGAAGATTTCGTCTAAGGCAAAGAAAATGATTTTTACTGAAAGAACAATAACGATGTGGAATTCTCTGCCTGAAGAAGTGGTTTTACCAGTGTCCATACAGATGTTCAAACAGCAACTAGATGCATACTTGCAAAAACAGAATATTCAAGGATATGATTTTTCAATGTAGGGTTATAGCTTCTTGATCCAAGGATAAGTCTGACTGCCATTCTGGGGTCAAGAAGAAAGTTTTTTCCTAGTTTGTTGCAAAATTGGAAGTGCTGCAAACTGGGGTTTTTTTGCCTTCTTTTGGATCAACAGCAAAAAACAAATGTGAGCAAGGCTGAACTTGATGGACGCAGGTCTCTTTTCAGCTATGTAACTATGTAACTATATCGCTCTCCATACAAATTGTGCAACTAAACAAAGTTGTGTATGATTTTTAGTTTTCCAAATTTCATTACAGAGGTATGTACTCATTACTTTACAGTTGTGAACTTAGCAAAGATAAACATTACTGTCATTTTATATCCTGCTGAAATATTGTCTGCAATGTTTTTTGGCTTGTAGTCTTATTCAAATAAGAAAATGTCATCACTACCACTAACTGCCCATTATTGAACCAGACAGGTGAAGAGTTTCCTGTATCTCATTTGCAATATGTTGCATGGCCTGACCATGGAGTTCCTGATGATTCATCTGATTTCCTGGAGTTTGTGTCATCTGTAAGACAAAAGCGAATGAAGAACCAGCCAATCCTTGTTCACTGCAGGTAGAATTTCTAAAACGCACAACATTGTTGGTCTTTGATTTACAGTCTGTACAGTTGCACTTTACTACAGCTATGTGTGTTATGCCACAATATATATTTTTTTAATGTCTTATTTTCTAAAACTATTGTTCTTGAATGGATTACATTGATATATGGCAATCTTAGAAGGCATAGACTTGCATAAGACAGTGTTCTAATAATGATATACAGAAGTGGCCAATATGTGATTTGACTTTATACAAGAGAAAATTTTGAAATATGAATCCAGCTCAGGATGGCAAACATTATAGAATGACATACTGTAGAGCAGTGTTATCAGAAACTGCTTCCTTTTAAATTAATGTGAGTTTTCAGTTGGTGTTCGTCTAGCCATATAATGCAAGCATAAGCCACTCTTTTTCTTTTTCTCTTTTTATAGCGCTGGCATTGGTCGTACAGGTGTCTTAATAACAATGGAAACAGCCATGTGCCTAATTGAACAAAATCAACCTGTCTATCCACTGGATATTGTGAGGCAAATGCGAGACCAGCGTGCAATGATGATCCAGACATCGGTATGTTACAGATGTGTGCATGAGACCTATATGTGTGAATTGAGTCTTTTAAATATCCCAAATATGCAAGCATAGGTACCTATTTATATATAAAATCAGAGGTAGGAGCAATGTTTGTGCTTGCTGAAGGTTTAGAATTCCATTCATATGGTTAGAATAGAACAGTATATGTTATAATTGTAATCAGTCCTTTAGAACAGTGGTCTCCAATCTCAGTCCTTAACACACTGCAACATCCAGGGTTTAGACATTTCCCATTTGTGTTCCAATGGGCATACTAACAAAACCTGGCTGTTGTGTGTACCTTGGGGATTGAGTTGGAAAGAAATGGTTACTGAGAGTTCACTGTACATTCTGTATCTGTATGATATTTAGTTCCAACATGGGAGAGAGAGTTAAGTTGTCAAACTATGCAATATCACACAAACTGTAACAGTATATTAAAGAGATAAAATTATAGTGTATACATTGGGATAGCCGGCTGCTAGTAAGCGTATACACTGGCAGATATGTTCTAATTAAACTTGATATCCCGTTGCAGGATTCTGATGTGGTGTATCTGCATGAAAGTGTTGTATTATTATGCAGATAACACAGCATCCATTGCAATCTCTTCTGAGAAAGTATTACATAACATAATTACTTTAAGGTGATTAGTTCTAGAACTGTTGTGGATCAGTGTTTTTATGGAAAAGAACATTCATTTAAAAAAAAGTTCAGTTCTGCAGAACTTTTGTTAAAGTAGATTTCGGTTACTGTTTTTTTAATCAAAATATTATTCACTAAAGTGAAAATTCAAAGTGAATTTCAGATTTTTAGGCAAAAGTAGAACTGGAATCACATCTTGCTTAGCTAATATTTCCAACTCAACTATTTTCAATTTAAATTTGAAATTTACTTTGAATTCTCACTTTAGTGAATAACCCTGAAATTGGTCAGTGATAGCCTAAGTAGGGAAAAACGAGAGATTCTGATTTCCTGTGAAATGGCTTTGCTTAATATAAGTTGTGATTGAACCAAAAATGTTTTACAAAAAGCTCCACCTCCTACTAATGTTCATGGGATGGAGGGGAATAAATAGCCGTGTGGGGATCTAGTAATTAAAATCACACCTGTGTCATTTAGTGTTGGGTAGATGTAGATGTAATGTTTATGATGAATAGGCGTTATCTGAATTGCAGAACAAAGGATGCTCAATACACTGTTTTTATTTCATTACTATTTACGTTAGGGCTAGAGAGAACCTCGCAATCATGAGCTCCACTATTTACGTGTTTACTCCAAAGTGTATTGATTCTTCTTTTTGTATTGCTCCTTATCGTCTATAATTTTTTTTTTTTTGTCTTACTTCAACAGAGTCAGTATAAGTTTGTTTGTGAAGCCATTCTCCGTGTTTATAAAGACGGATTAATTAAGCCGTTGCATTGCAGTTAACGCATTCACTCATGTAAAGTTGAATGAGGTCCCTACGCAACAATAGAGCGACATGTCTGAAACATCAACATGGGAAACAAGCACATCTGTGGCACTTTAAATTTCTGTAAAAGATTTTTAAGTTCTGTACATAAAGGTTGTGTATATAATATGTCATGTATATCTGTTTTAGAGAGTTGTATAAAATCAGTTAGCACATATTGTACACATAAAATGAAAAAATCATGGAAACGGAACATTAGGTAATTTCTTGCTTTGCCTTAGACATGATTTTATTGGGATAATATAATTTTTCCACATGGTTCATGTTCTGTTCGTATTGAGAATATATTTACTATTTTTAGAATGTATGTGGAAAACAGAATACAGTAATGTATTAGTTGGTTGTAGCACATATTTTTACAAAAACCGTGCCATGCAATAATACTTAATTGTAACATGATATACTTTGAAAGTACAAAATCCGTCTTTTATAAGCTATGTATTACTAGAGGGCAAATTAATTTATTTAGTGATGATTTGACAGCACAATTTACGCTGCAGCAATAGTTTGGTTCATTTTTTTATGGCCTCAGCCTTTAATTGAACACAATGATAAGAATGTTAGGACTGGTATAGGTCCATGTGAAACCGTAGTCATTGTCAATGTTTAATGATATATGTCTGCATTCCCATTAGTATATTTAGTTTTCTCTTATTTTTCATTATGTAGGGGAACATAGATATTACAAAATGTGGAAGGTTGACTTCATCAGATGCAATCTATGATCAGTAACTTCAAATACAAACAAATATATATATATATATATATAATGTTCACATGCTCTAAAGGTATGTAATTAAAATCACAATTTATTAACGTAGGCATTTATGAAGATTATGTATACACGCAAACTAAAAAAGTGAAAAATACCACCAGGTAGGGGTCGACGTATTAAAAAAACAAAACAAAAAAAAGTACACTTAACTGTATCCCAAATAACTCTATTTGTGTTCTGGAAATATTCATTCACTTGTGGCACAGTATTAACTGGAAACAGAAATTATGCTGATTAAAAAAGAAAAAGGCTTTATAAAGCCTGTGTAAGGGTTCTTCATGTTTTTGGAGAGGCCTGTAAAATAGTTTATTATCCACTTTGGACTTATTTGAAATTTTTTTGGAGCTACATATAGTCCATCACATCTGATATCTAAATGATAATTTAAAAAGTGACAAAAACCTACTCTGCAGCGCAAGTTACGTGAAACAAAAAAAAACTAATCTGATGGGAAAAAACAAAAACGTGTTTGTATATTAATTTCATATAAAACCGTTCACGTCTTTGTATAACATAAATAACAATGTTCCTTTCTGTTGTCATATTTAAATAGTCTGATGTGATCTTACAAAAATCAATTTTTTCCCCAAAAAATAATACTAGACTGACCAAAGAAATATAAAAATAACTTTTCAATGCTCTTATGCAGAGTGATTTTTGGCTGCAGATTTGCTAATGAGGAATTCTTGCAAAATTCATGTTGATGTAAAAAACTTATAGGATTCTGTGAGCTTCATATTAATTCTACAAGAGTACATTATCGGTTTGCCACCATAGTCTCATGGAGCACTATAGAAAATATTATGCATTTTATTGTTTAAATACATTCATTACTTCATCTCTGTTATAGTCTTCCAAAAATACAAATCTTGTATTCAAGATTTAGATTCAGCTGGAACCTGTCGTCACCTGTATTCAACCACTTCTAACTTGTTCTACCCACTCAATACTTCACTAAGAACATCTCAGGATGTCTTGTTAGAGATTACCTACAAACAGAAGAAGGGGAACTGCAATGTACCCAGGTATGCAGGAGCCATAACAGGTTTAATAATAAAAGCTAGGTAAGCTATATATGGCTACTCCAAACTCCTGTCAATTTTCTTGCAGTGGGCAGATGCAAACCCTTAATGCTGCAAAAATGCTATTTTACAGATACAGCCTCTTGAGCTATCAGTCACTGGATATGGAAAAATATCCTATTCGTTGATCTTGTGGAAGTGTGCAGTTCCTTTTCATGATATATGGAAGCAAATGTAATCTCCTGCAAAAAGGCATGCAGAGAGATTAGGGATAAACCCATCCAAAATGCCTATATGTAAAGCTTGAGATACCCATGTAAATGAAAGAACAGATGTTCTACAAAATGTGAATGATGATTAGTAGAAAATCTCACTTCTTGTATCTATAGCCACTAATGTCTTGATAAAGACTTCTCATTTTGAGGTCAAATCTCATATTTAGGGTTTCTACTCATCATTCTCTGCCTTGTAAAGAATACTGTGCTAGATTAAACATTAAAGAACCCAATATCTATATACAAATTAATGCAATATAGATGCTATATTAATATTTCCTTGATAAAAATCTATTTTTGTTGGATATTAGGCAAGTGGTTTGATTTTTGTCATTATATCCGAACTGTGTTAAGTTGGTCAATTAACATATAAAAGTGGCCTTAATATTCTATTGTGTGTAAAAATTAAACCAGCACATATGTTTTAATGAACATGGAAAAGGTTTCAAACATGTGTCCATGAAGCTGAACTATAAAATATTTTAACATGGTAAAAAAAAAAAAAAAAACTTTTTTAAATGTATTTTTATTTTCTAAACATATTACTTTAAAATTATGAGTAGCACAAGTAAAATGTTTATATTTATTTAATTGCAAGATGTAACCACATAACTATTTGCCCACCTCTAAGAGCACATGCAAAGCTTTTAATAAGAGCATTATCTTGGGGAGTGTATTAAGAATCTACCCATTTAAAATGTATTTATGTGTAATAAATGGCTATTTTTATTTGAGATTTTTTTTTTAATTTGCATTTATTTCTTCATCATTGAGAATTAGAACATATTTATTTTTAAATTTGGGATGGAAGAATTCTATACAGAGTGTGGCATAGCACAAATGGTCTGACAAAACAATCCCTGGTTGACCATCCACCCACTCTCCCCTTGCCCCCTGCCCCCAGGCCCAAACAAGTATATATCTGCTGGAGATTACCATTTTTAAATGTACTATTAGATAATGAATTGAAATTTGAAAATCTATAAGCTTTAACGAAACCAGGCAGTGACTTGATCAATCATGGATTGTTCACTGAACTTTCTATTGTGTTTTTAAGCATATGGAGGATTGTAGTTCAGGTATTTACTGTAATCATATTTAAAAAGACAATATAAAGAATTCAATTATTACATTAATTAAAAATAAAAATCCCAGACAGCATAACCAACTGTAATCTAATTTACACACTGCACCGAGGATTTTATCCTTTCCACCAACGTTTTAAACTTTCAGTTTTCCCAGGTATTGTAAAATATGTAAGCTGTACCATGGGTAATCGAAGGATAATTACACAAAAGGTATTCTAAAACAGATTATGGCATTGGAACATGACCTGGATCACCATAAATACTCAAATTATCTCAAAGAACAAATGATCAGAAGCAATACTTGGTGAGCACATGATGACTTTATTTTGGAGAAATTTCAATAATGCTAAACTTTCCTCACACATTAGGCTCTAGAGCTGGGTTGGTCAAATTGTAGATGCCCAGATGGCAAAGCATAATGTAAGTTGCTATTATACAACATCTGTGGATCTACATTTCGCCCAATTAAGTTCTAGAGTACCTTGTACAGGAGGAGGCAAACATATTCTTTAGCACAACTACAAAGTTTACAGGTCAGCAATACACACAATAGCTATATCTGCTTACATGCCACCCCAGCCTTATAATGCAGTTGCAAGAAGCCAACCTCATGCTGAAGACTCCCATCTAGGATATAAACTGTGTGTACAGATTTTATATTTTTTTTTAACCAGCGCACTTTAGCCTAGGCAGCATTTCACAAGGCTCTCACTTGCAAAGTATATATAAAGATTGTCATCTTTACTTTTACATATGCTCCATTTACATATAAACCATTACATTGTATTTTACACATTTGCTTTTTATTTTCTGTATTGCACCAAAATAATCACTCTTTCAGGTACATTTTATACATCTTTCAATTATTCCTGTTTATTTAAAATTGATATTGATATTACCGTTAACATTTACAAAATATATAAATAAAAAGATAATGGAGTACTATTTGCACCACAAAAAAAAAGACCATAATAGCTACTTGTATATCTCCGACCATCCATCCCACTAACCAAGATAGTAAAATTTGTCATAAAAAATTTGGCTCTTTACATTACTTTTTTTTATATCTTTCTTTCTACAAAGTGTATATTTTTTTTAGTTGTGCTAAACAATGCTGTACTGACTCTACTGGTTCTAAATTGGAGAGTTAATATATATATATATATATATATATATATATATATAAATATAAAACTGATAAAGTATATGCTTCATAGTTCCGCCTACAACCCTTATGTATTGAATTCCGTATCTTGCCCTAAAAAGAACATTATGTATTTTAATTTCCCTGTGATTTGTGTCCCATTAAAATAAAGTAATACTATAGTATTTTTTTTCTTTTTTTAGATTAATTTTTTTTATAGCACACTAAACACAAGAACAATTTATTGTTTTCCTTCAGGCATACTAATCTTGGTTTGATTTCAAATATGAAATTGAGAGATGAGTTTTCAAAGCATTCAAGCTGCCTAATCAGTTCGAGATCAATAATTTGTTTGTCAGAGTGCTAAGCTTATGATAGCCAAGAGATTGGATATCATTCATTTTAAATGCATATTTTTGATGGTAATAAACATATTTATGAAATTTGAAAAACAAATGCATCTTTAACAATATTTTAATGTGCAGATATTTAAATGCATAAGCTTATTTATCAATACATGCAATAAACAACAATGGAATTGTAATGAGAAATTTGATCAAATGTACATTGGTACCATATTTTGTCTTTTTTTTACATATTTTGTGGAGAACATGAACTATTGATTTTGTTTATTATTTTTAATAAAATATGTGCTAAAAATTTGACCATGTAAATTATTTGATAGCCTTCATGAGCAGAAGCCTTGATTAGTAATAAAATTGTGTAAGTGTGTATACATGTGGTAGGTAAATAGTAAGTTCAGGCAAAAAGCTTTTACGTAGAGAAGTTATTTGAACTTTAATACATGGTTTGCCTAACTATTATTCAGGAAACCTGGTCCCATTCTCAAAAGGATGTTATCGGCAAGCAAGGGGCCACTTTCCAAGGATGAGTTGTGAGTTTGATAGCTAGTGGCCAAATTCTGGCTGTAGGTGAGAAGGGGCCACTTGCCCTGGACACTGGTTTCTTTGGCAAATGGCTTTGAAACCTGGACAGGAGTATTTTGCTTACTTACTGCTTAATATATAATAAACATTTATTAGCAGATGACCGGTTACATAAGGGAATTCACTGAAGAGTTTTATTATAGTGTTGTTACTAAAATTGTGGTACAAAAAACATCTGAACTATCTCTATGGATTATTACACCTTTAGCAACCCAATATTGCTTGTTTGTGTCTCAGATATTTTGTTGTATTTAGTGTCCATTACATTGATCATTGGTTGTAAGCTGTTATTAGCAGAGTACCAGTATTTGTATTCAATAAAACAGGATTATTAGATATCTTTAGCTATTTAAAATCATTGAAAAGCATTTTAATAAGCTCACCACCAAGATTTTATTAAAATGTATTTTGTTCTCTCATTATAGTATTTGACTTAATATTAATATTTATAATACTCATATTTGAAACAATTCTTACTTTACATACATACTCTGTTTTCTGCACCCTTTTTAAAACAAAAAAAACCACACACACGTAAATTATCCCTCCTTTTTTTGTCTATACTATTTCAGGTTAGAAAGTTTGCATCCTTATATTGGGGTTGTATGCTTATCCCTCATTCACATTCAGCCACCTGGGTATTCAAATATTTTGAAATACATCATTCTTGCATTTTGGCCTTTTATTTATTTTTTTTAAAAGCTACTCTGCATTAAGATTTGCTCTAATTTTATGTTAACACAACTACTGAAGTACTTGGAAAAAATAAAATTCTCTCTCAAAAGCAAAAAATTCCCAACCACATAGACAAAAAAGTAATTGAAGTTACAGATTTAAATTTGAGGAGTTGGATACAGGCTGGCATCACCAGTGTTTCTCAATTAATAAAGAATGGGGTAATAAAAACTTTCTCACAATTAACGAAATAATATAAACTATCATCAAAAGAAACCTTTACTTTTCTTATATTAAAAAGCTTCTTATCATCCCATCTTATAAATTCTAAGACCCTGATTGTAGAAAGGACGATGACCCTGTTAAATTCTAATGACACAGTGGGACCTTTCTCGAAAGCCCCTCTCACTGATTAGACTACCTATAAAAGATGTAAAACCCACAGTTCTACCAGTTTGACAAAAAGGAGCTAAACATAACAATGCACTCCAAAGAATGGGATACCTCCCTTAGAACTGTATCTAAAAATATTCACTCTCTTAATTTAATCGAATCTCATTTCAAGGTGCTCAACAGGTGGCACTTGAACAGAATGTTTCCAAATGAAGACCATCTATGTTGATAAACCACTGGTACTTATCTGCATGCGTGGTGGAATTGTGTTAAGGTAAAGAATGTATGGGGAAACTACATACAATTTTCTTAACTCTATCATTAATTGTAAAATTTTGAAATCTCCAGAGGTAGCTTTACTTCACCTTAAGAGGCCCTCTAAGTCTATATTGAATAAATTGATTACAAACCACCTATTTTTAGTAACCAATATAGTTATCTCAAGACATTGGAGAAGCGAAAATTATATTCCTTGGTCATTCGTTAAAAATCGAATCCTATTTCAAGTCAAAATGGAACAATTGACTAACGAATCAAACATAAATAGGACCAGAAATAAATCCTTATGGGATGTATGTCTGGAAAAAATTTACAATAGTTTTAATACATTTAATTATGGAGACACTTGTTAATCTAGAATCCTTACATTTATGGTTTTAGGTATATAAATATAACGACAACTATTACAGTATCACATATTCCTGATAATCACTCTAAATATAATTGAACCCTGGCTGCAGAGTTCATTGTAGCTCCCCTTCCTCTTTGGCACATCCTAGGAAGATATTTATGTTTCTGTCTTATGTTGTATGTTGTGTTCTAGTTGGGTTGGCTGATATTAATCATTTTAAGACATATGAATTTCGATCCCAAATAAGGTCTATTCTTTTATGTAATTGTGATGAAGGATTTATCCCAACTCTGTCTATTGTATAGATTTTTTTAGTTTTTGTAATAAATCTGAATTATTTCAATATTTTTTTTTTCTTCTAAAAAAAAAAAAGCAAAACTTTCTTTGAATGTCTTGGACACCTCAAATGGAGATAGTTCTTGTGTTATTTTGACATTTAGAAAACATTTTGCAAATTATATATATATATTGCTTTCTCTGCTTCATGCAGACATATTTTAAATAAAATATAATGATCTAATGTTGCAGGTAGTATACGCTGAATAGTATTCACTAAACCAAGAATTATGAAAAATTGCAAATCTTAGCAAAAAGGATTTCCCCCCTTAAACCTAGAATAAACCCTATATTTTTATATTCTGAAAAAAAAAAAACAACTAACATATTTCAGTTTCAATGGCATTAGTACTTTGGGAGTGCACATTATGAATGTATGTCTTATTGCAAGATAATGTAAACGTTTTAATTTGTTTCACTCTTCACTGCAATATAATCATGTTTATTCTGTAAAGATGTACATTTTTGCCAAAATATTGTTGACATATTACTGTAATGACAAAATGCCAAAATAGCAAGTGTTTTTGTACAAGTATCAAAAATGTTATTGTAAATTGGTGTAATATTTCCAGAGTTAATTTATGACATGTTTCATCATATCTTTTTTTTTTTTTTCTGTTTATTTTATAGTTTTTAGTTTAGGTTCTATTATATAATTTTGGTTTTGGTATTAAATATAAATGCATATGATAAACATCACTGGTTACAAGCTGCTAATAAAAACAGATTTAATAATAACATGAGATGTCTAGTGTATATTTTGTACATTTATCTGTTTTGTTTTATTTTATTATTTGAGAACTGCAGTATATGAGATAATAATTTAGGTGTGCCTGGGTGCTACTGAATCAAGCCTCCTAATTTACAAACGTTCTAGAACTGCCAGAAAAAAAAAAAAAAATTATTTTAGTATAAAGTGCTCCTTTCTCTCACAAAGCAATATTGGTACCAGATAACCTTTGTTTTAGCTAGTTTGTGTCATGCATTTATTTTCATTTAGTTCTTGACCCATTATCCCCAGAATAATAACCCCTTCACTTTGATTGCATTAATGATTGAAAATGAGTGAATGTAGGGGTCAATGATCTAAAATCATGTTTACCAAAAATGCCCAGGGATCTTGGTTGAAATCCACTTTTTTAGGTGGCAGGAAAACATTAAGCAGGTTGTATTTGGCTGATGAACATTGTCCTAAGATTTACCTATAGAGCTAAGTGCTGCCCCAACATTTATTTCCTGATATATCATTCAGGGCCACCACTAGGCTATGGTGATTCTTATAATAAATCATTTTCAGCTCCATAACAACTCTAAATACACTTATCTATTTTACTATCATTAGGGAACTAGGTGATAAGACCACTGTTTACTTACATTACATTTTTTTTGCCAGGAATTGCATTAGGCCGTCCTTTACCCATGTCTACAGAACCTATTGGACATTTTACATTAGTGGCCGCTATTAATACATTTATTTTATAAATACACTATTTAACTGTATATATACCCCCTAACATTAAGAGGCATGCAAACAGGAGGGGGGGGGTGGAGGGGGTTGCAGACCCTGTGGGTGTTTCACCAGTGACATGACTTGAATCACCAACAATGCTCATAATGGATGGGATTGCCTGTGAATGGGACAATCTTGCTTACTGAAGGGATGTGACGGCCTGTCTGGCCAACTCTTGACTGACAGGGGCCATTTAAAAAGCCCCCCCTTCCAACAAATGGGGCATAGTGTCCCTCCTTGGCCCCCCACACATGAGCGGCGGGTGGGGGCCCTAAAAGACAATGGGGGTGAACCTATTATCCTACCCCAACCCATGAGCGGCGGGTGGGGGTACTAAAAGACAATGGGGGGACCTATTGTTGAACGGCTGGAGCTCTATTCGGCCACGTGAGCCACAAACCCGGGCAAGAATTGCACCGCTACCTGTCCCACTTCCCGACAAGCTAGGCGAACAATGTTCGGGAGATGGGAACTACCGACTGGGGGAAGAATTCATTCCTTAAAAGCCAGGGGGAGCATTCGTCGGTGTTTGCAAAGAAACCTCTGTTCTATGCAAATGCAAATATTGTATTCCTCAAACTGTGTACTTTGTCTTTAAAAGATATTGCAAACTGACAAGGTGTTTGAAATGGAATATATTGTTTTTCATACAAGCAATAACCTTTAACTTACCTCCAGTGCATAATATGTTTACACCATTTTGTCCCAGACAAAAATACAATAACAATAATGTATAAACAAGCTTCAAGGCTATGCTACGACTCTTTCAGTACATAATATCCTGCGGTAACCCAAAATACATAAGATGTTCAGACTTTAAGATGCCATCTTGTACTAAGTCGGGGAATTTTCCATGATGTGTTATGGCCTTCTAATGTACAATGTTTAAATTAAAAGTCACTAGTTCAAACGAAATCTGACCGGAGTCTGGACCCAGAGAATAAAGTAGCTAAAAACAGGAACCCTACATAGAACCACTCCTCTCCAAATAAATATGTACAATAAATATCCATCACCAAAAGCCCAAAATAACAAACTTGAAATAAAAAGAAATGCACGTCGGGCGTTTCTAAACGCTTATCTTTTTATTTCATGTTTGTTATTTTGGGCTTTTGGTGATGGATATTTAGTGTACATATTTTACATAGCTCCCCACACCCCAGCAAAGTGACATTGATGACTTTTTACGAGATGTCCAGCTTCCATCCCTCTTGCCTGAAGAAGGCCAAAAACTGACCAAACCTTTCACGGCTCAAGAAGTCCTACAAACCATAACACAGTTACCAAAACATAAATCACCTGGACCTGACGGGTTCACTAACCTTTATTACTACACGTTTAGACACATCCTGGCTCCTTATATGATGGACCTATTTAATCACTGCTTTAGAACAGGCGGCATGCCTAACGACATGCTAAAAGCCCATATTTCCACATTACCGAAACCAGGTAAACCTCCCACACAGTGTCCTAATTTTTGGCCCATATCCTTATTGAATTGTGATACTAAGTTATATGCCAAACTTATAGCGAATAGCTTAGCCAAGATAATACCCCAAATTGTGCATAACGACCAGTCAGGCTTTGTTAAAGGCAGGCAAGGCTGCGACAACACTAGGAAAATACTAAACATTCTATCTCACATAGAGAGGCATGGCACAGAAAGCCTTTTCCTGGCCTTAGATGCTGAAAAGGCCTTTGATAGGCTTAATTGGGCCTACATGTCGACAGTCCTAACCAAATTCCGCTTTCCACCGGAACTTATTCTGGGCATTTCTGCACTATATGGTAACCCATCAGCACAGGTCTCCAACTCAGGTTTTGTTTCAAAACCCTTTAAACTTACTAATGGCACGAGACAGGGTTGCCCACTTTCCCCACTCCTATTGATACTATCACTAGAGCTGCTAGCCCATAAAATCAGACAAGACCCACTGATCACGGGAATTCGAATCCAATCAAACGAGTACCACCTAGCAATGTTCGCAGATGACATCTTATAATCTCTTAGTAAACCAGAGACATCTCTACCACGACTTTTGGCCATCTTAGAAGCCTATGGTCAGGTGTCATATTATAGACTAAATAAGACTAAAACACAAGCACTATCGATCAATATACTGATGCAAATAGCTAAAACGCTACGCACCACGTATCAGTTCGATTGGAGGCACACCTACATTACGTATCTGGGAGTTAAACTAACACTCCATAGACAAAGAATGGTATCACTCAACTATGCCCCACTAGCAAATATCTGTAATTCAATCCTCCAGAAATGGAAAGATGTACATTTGTCTTGGATGGGGAGTCTGAACACAATCAAGATGGTAGTACTACCAAAAATTCTGTATGTCTTTAGGATGTTACCCTTACAGGTTCCATTACAACTACTCAAAACTGTCCAAATCACACTAAACAAATTTGTGTGGAGAGACATGAGGCCACATTTACCGGTTTCATTCCTCCATCTACACCCGACAGATGGGGGCTTGGGTCTCCCGACAATATTGACCTACTATAAAGCGGCCATCCTAGAGTCAGCCATAAGATTACATGCTCCCAAAAATACTTTCCAATGGGCAGATATGGAACAAGACAAATCTCACCCACATACCCTAACGAACATCTTATGGTCACCGAAGTCACACCGACCACATACAAATGTACTATACCCTACATCTGCCCTTACCTTGAAGATATGGGACAACCTCAGACCTAACCGACTCGAAGATAACAACTTCTGTGCTCAGGTACCTTTAGAAACATTAGAGATCATCTCCGCATGGCTATCTCTGAAAAAGTGGACAGATATGGGCTTTAAAAAAATTGGGAGACCTTTGCTCTCAATCAACAATTATGCCCTTCCCTGAAATTCAACAGAAATACAAGTTACCTAACTCGTTTATTTTTGCATACCTCCAACTAAAGAGTATTATAAACAACATAGTCACGTTCACAACGGATGAGTTGCCCCCACGAAATAATCCTGCTATACTACTCCACAATAGATGTCTATCAGCCCCAACAAAACCGGGAGCATTATCTCTCTGCTACCAGATCCTCCTACACAAAACTCCACCTAGTTCCTTTAAATATGTGGCACAATGGGAGAAAGAAGGAATACCCAAGCTCACAGATGATCAATGGCTTAAAGCATTAAACGCACTTCGAGGCATCACATCCTGCTTCTCTCATATAGAAGCTCACAAGAAAGTGGTCTATTGATGGTACCTCACTCCACACAAGCTACATAAAATATACCCCGCAATAGATCCTAAATGCTGGAGATGCGGTGCTGATGAGAGACACACGACTCACATATGGTGGGAATGCAAACAGATCAAGCCCCTCTGGAAACGGGTACACACACTACTACAAGACAAGACGGAAGAAACACATTCTCTTACACCTACAATAGGCCTCTTCCTGATTTTTCCCAACACCTGGAGATTGGAAGCCAGAAAAATAGCCACTTTGATCATACTGGCGGCCAGAAATCTTTGAGCATTACACTGGAAATCTACATATTGCCCAAACAACAAAGAATTGATAGACAAGATTTACAAGTTCTACCGATATGAGACTCTATCTTCAGATTCCTCTGAACAAACAAAGAAAATAGAAACGCTTTGGGCACCGTTGCTAACAAGACACTACCACCGCAAGAATATAGAGAAATGCAGAAAGTAAACCTATGTCCCCCCCGTGGATGAGAAGGATACCAAAGATAGACTTCATAAACACACAGATGGCACACTTTAGCCAAGACACACAGAGACAACCAAATACCAATAATAATATGGAGCAGATACACAGCAGAACAACTACACTATACAGACAGGTGAAGTTGGTCAGTCACGCTTCCAAATGAGAGGCAATTCAATACACGACTATACATTCTCCTCCAGGTTCATACCTCCTAGTTACATATCCCTCTCCCCCTTTCTTCTACTGAACCATAGAATCAAGTTCAGCTACCTTTATCGACAATTCAGATAAATAGCACTATCAAATGCAGGGACAGTACTCTTGTCCTCCACAGGAGAGACACAAAGTTTGACAGGAACAATTGTATATCTAATCCGAACGAGTAGGTAATATGGGGTGACTTCATTTTACCCAGACGAGACAGGTGGTTAACAAGGAAAACCGCAGGAATAGAATCTGGTATAGGCCTCATACATTGATATTAACTGTTATA